AGTATCCAATAAAATTAATTTCTAATTCCATTTAAAAAAAAAAAATATTAAATATTTTAGAAAAAGTTTTAATAAAATATATCATTATTAAAAGATATTATGTTTTTATTTATTTTTCTTTATTTACTAAATATTTAGAAATAACCTTGTTTACACTTTTTACCTTTATCATAGTTAATTATTAATTTATTTTATATTTCAAATAAAAAATTTGCTAATTTTTTTTTCTTTTTTTTTATTTTTTAAATTTTTGAATACATTTGTTTTTATTTTTATTATTGTTTATTAGCTTTCTTAAAAAGTCTCTTTACTTTTTTTCTTTTCTTTTAAAAATTTTCAATTTCTAAAATATATTTTTTTTTGAAATGAATGAATAAATTTGCATCGAAATTGCAAATATATATATTTCACAGTTTGAAATTTATCAAAAAGTATAAAAGTAATTAATTTCTATCAAATCAATTTTATGCTTGAAATAATCAAAATAAGCAAATAAAATAAGTTTTGGATGCAATGCAAAATAAGCGAAAATAATTTGTGAAATTAATTATTTGGTTTAACAAAATTTTAACTTTTCAAAATTTGAATTGTTTAATGTGCTAAATTACATTAAACTAAAATTGTAATACATTAAAATTTCATGAAAATACTAATTAATTTTAATTCAAATATTTGTCTGAACATTGCATAATCAGAAAATTAGTTAACACTCGGAGAAAAGATCGTTTTTTCCGGATTTATTTAACACTTAAGCATCGGACAAACCGGAAAATTAGTTAACACATAAAAAGCATTAATAGCCAATAATATATTATTATTGTTATTGCTATTATTATTGTTATTGTCATTATTATTACTATTGCTATTATTATTATTATTATTATTATTATCATTATCATTATTATTATTATTATTATTATTATTATTATTATTATTATTATTATTATTATTATTATTATTATTATTGTTATTATTATCGTTATTGTTATTTTATTATTATTATTATTGTCATTATTTTTGTTATTATTATTATTATTGTTATCATCATCATCATTACTATTATTGTTATTATTATTACAATTGTTATTATTATCATTATTATTATTACTACTAATATTATTATCATTATGATAGATTATGATTATACTAAAATTTATATTTCATTACGGTTAATTTTGAAATGTTTGCACAGTAAGCTTAGGATTTCATTCGTTTTGATAAAATTTTATTCCAATATTAAAATTTTAAACTTCCTTCTATTTAATTCAAAAATTCATTGCAAATTTAAATGATTGAAATGTGTTAAATATAACATTCCCTTTTATTACCGAAAAAAAAAAAAAACAAAAACAAACAAACAAACAAACTTTTGATATCTAATGAAAGGACTATTAGTTTGTTATTTTTTTTTTATTTAAAAATTTTTAATCATTTATTCATTTTTACTTATTTCTTCCTTCTTTGTTTTATTTTCTTCGTTTTTCTCTTAAAAAAAAAAATTAGAAACAGAGTTGAAGAAAGAAAAATTTTTTTAAATGTTTTAAAAAATTACATTCAAACTGTTTTTTATCAAAAAAAAATAATAATAATAATTTCTTTTCTTAATTTTTTTTCCTTTTTTTTTTTTTTTTTCAAATATTTTGTTTAAAAAAATTGTTAATGCAAAAGCAAAAACACGTCATTTTAACACTTCTTGAAAGAAAGAAAAAAAAAATTAGAAGATAAGAACAAAAAAAAAAAAGAAAAATCATTGCATTTCAAAGTATTAAATTATTGCTTATACATTAATTTTTTCATAGAATAAACACTTTTCTTTCTTTTTTTGATTAAAAATAAATTTATTTTTTCATTCATTTTCTTCCACTTCAAAATATAATATAAAAAAAATTTTTTGAAAGATAAGTTTTTAAAAAAATTTTGCAAAAAATTTTTCATTTTTACTTTTTTCAATGCTTTTAACCATCTGTAAATGCTGCATTTCATTTTATAATAAATAATAATAATGATAATAAAAAATAATAATTATTATTATTATTTAAATTTTGATAATAATTTTGATTACTTAAATTGCTTCTATTCATTAAATGATTTTTGATGTATTTATTTAATGTGAAAATGTTTTAAAAAAAAAAAAAAAAAAAAAAATGAAATGAAATGAAAAATAATTATTGTTAGAAGGAAATGTCAGCTGCATGCCTAAAGATAAGAAACTAAAAAAAAGAAAGAAAAGAAATAAATAAACTAAGTTCTAAAATAAAATGATGAGCAGATAAGTAATGATGCAATTTTTTAAATGAAATGATATTTTTCTTAATTTTTTTTTTTAAATAATATTTCATGGCAGTTAATTCTAGATTAAATAATAGAAAAAACAAAAAATTTAATTGCCTGCTAGCTATTGAAAACATTTAAGTTTGATGATGTGAAATTGAATTCAAAAATTTGTTAATCTTTTAAATTTTGCTAGAATTTCATAGTAGCATAAGGTTTAGTTTAATAGATGAAATTATTTATAAAATTTTTGAAATTTCTTTTGACAACCATTTTCCTTTCTTTTTTGTTTTTCTGTAAAATACTTTTGTATACTTTTAAAAATATTTTTTGAGTACACTAAGTAATGTAAAAAAATAAGTAAATAAGAATTAACTAAGATTTTTTTTTCATTTTGTTTATAATATAATCGATTTAGCTTTTCGTTTTTTTTTTTTGTTTTTTTTTTCAGTACATTTCTGTAATAGAATTTAAATAATTTCAAATTAACATTTTTTTTTTGTTTGTTTTTTCATTTTTTTTCTTTTTTTTTTGTTTACATTTTTATTTGGTATAATATTTTGATTTAATCATTTCTTTCTTCTTTTTGTTCAATTTTTTTCACACAAATACTAATATTATATTATTGATTAAATTTTTTGATTAATTAAATTTGTTAATATTACGTCAACTTTTCTTTTTTTTTTTGAATTTTTTGATTAATACATTAATGCAAACGAAATTAAAATTAATTTTTTAACTTTTTTTTTTTTTTTTTTTTAGGAATTCATCATCAAAATATACACATTAAATTCTATCAAAATTATTTTTCAAAAATTTATTTGAAAAACAAAAAAAGGAAAATTCTGATTCATTTCTTGCTTATTCTTATAGTATTAACTAATATTGTTTAACAATTTTTTTTTTTTAGATTTAGTCCTTTCGTATATTTTTAAGTAACATTTTGATATTTTCTTTTCATTTGTTCATTTTCCTTTTCCATTTTTCTTTTTTTCTGATATATATATTTAATCAATTTTTCTATTTTATTTCAGGCGAAAAAAAAAAATTTGCTTTTCACCTAATTTTTGTTTACTATTGAAATTTGAATCAAAAAAAGTAAACAAAAAAAAAAAAAAAAAGGAGAAAAAGGTTTGAAAAGAAAAAAAAAAAAACGAAGTAAGTATTTTGGGTGATATTGTGAATGAACTTACGTGGACGACGTGGACGTGACGTTTCATTATTCAGTTCAGAAATTACACCTGGCTAATGTTTTACGCTTCATACAGCTATACTGCTATCGCTGATCTCAATTACATATTTTTTTGAATGGTAAGAAAATTTACAACTATTTTTTCATATAATAATATTTATCAAATTAATTTTTTCTTTTCTTTTTTTTTTTTTTTGAATTTTTTTAAATATTTAAAATAATTAGAAATAACAAAAAAAGGTCACAGAAAATATACTTTACTTCCATACTGACCAATGGTCATTTGCTAATGAGGTCAAAGCATCATCCATCCTCCGTTAAGTTATGTCGTTGACCTTAGCATTGTTTATGTATGTAATAAACATATACATACCCATTTTTTTTTATGTCATATATAAAAATATTACTGATTGAATTCCATTCATAATTATCATCATCTCTCCCTTTCTCTCTCTCTCCCTCTCTCTCTCTCTCTTTTATTCTTCCTTTCATATATATTTTTTCTCTTTTCTTTGTTTTTTTTTTTTTTTTGAATCAAAAATTTTTTAATTCATTTTTTGTTTTTCTTCAAACTTTTTAAAATATCATTTTCTATCGTTTTTTTTCCCTTAAATTTTATTAACAATTTGTCAATTCTTTTTCATTTAAACAAATATTTTTTTTTATCTTTCATTTTTTTTTTTTTTGTTTATTTACAATTTTGTTTTTTTTCTTCTCTTTGTAATTATATTTTTTTTTTTTTTTTTGTTTTCAAATATTTTAAAATGTTTAAAAAAAAATAAAATAATAATTTGTTTTAATAAATGAATTAATAACACATATTTTTAGTTTAGAAAATTAAAATAAATTACTCTCATCGTTTAATCTCGATTAATTGAAAAAAAAAAAGAAAGAAAAGAACGAATGCATAAATATTTTATGAATCAAACTGTAAAAATGTTTTATTTTCAAATGAGCCATAAATCAATGAATTTAATAAATTGGTCTGATAGGGTTGATTTTTCATCAACTTTTACTTTCTTTTTTCCTTTCCTTTTTTTTTTTTTTTCTTGCATTTTTCAATTTTAGTTTTCCTTTTTTTCCACCTAAGAAATGATTAATTATATAATATTATTAAAATCTTAGTTTAAATTATATATTTTTTTTTTTATTTAAATCATAATTAATTATGAACTAATTCATTAAATTATTAAATGTTAGACATTAATTTTAATAATAATTTTCTTTTTGATTATAGTTTAATTTCAGTTAGAGGGTAAAATTTTTATTTTAAAATACAATTTTTAAATTTTAAACAATAAAATTTAAATGTTTCATTAAAAAAAAGAAAAAAAAAAAAGGGAAAAAAAAGAAATTTCAAGCACAATTCTATTTTGTGCATTAATGTTGTATATATATACATATCCCTTTTCTTGTTTTATTGCTAAATTTGCTTTATTTTTCAAATTCAATTTTTTCTTTTTAACTTTTTTTTATTTCTTTTTTAGATATCGGTTTAAAAAAAAAAAAAAAAAAGTGAATTAAAAGAAAAATTAATATGTTCACAAAAGAATACTTAAAACCATGGACTGGAAATCAAAGGTCAAATCCATCTGGTTAGTTTAATTTTGTAATTGTTGAATAATAATTTCCAATTTATAAAATAATAAAAAATTTTTCAACTAACAAATCTTTCAAAACATTTATTAACATTGTTTCATTTTTTTGTGATATTTTAAATTGTATCTTTTTACTTACTTTAAATCCTTTTTTTTTTTTTTTTTTACCTGGAATTATTAAAAGTATTTACTACTTGAAACTTATATATGAAATATTTTATTTTGAATTTAATTTTATATATTAATGATAATTTAATAATTTATAAAAATTAAATTTTCTTCATTTTCTTCTCAAATTTATCGCTGTTTTTAATTCCTTTGCTAACAGTTCAAAAGAAAAAAAAAAACAACAAAAGGTAGCAACAAATTACTATTATAGCATTAAAAAAAAAAAAAGAAAAATAAAATAAAATAAAAAATAATCAAAAATTTTCATCGATATATTCCATTACAATTTCTAATATATTACTTAAGTTAAAATTTTGATTATTTCAGTAATTATAGATAGCGGAGTTCAACGTCATGACCCTTCCACGGATACGTTATACGTTAATGCTAGTAAACAAACGAAGCTTGATCCTGATAAAGCAGTCAAAGATTTAGAATTAAGGTAAACAATAATAATAAATTGAATCTATTTTAAATATCACTTAAATGTTTATCTATTGTTTTATTAAAATTATTACTATTTCAATTATATATTATCTATTTTATATGTTAATTATTCAAATATATATCACTGCTAAGTGATTAATTAATTAAATATAATTATGAATTAAATATAAGTGTAGGATTTAAATAACAAATTTTAATTCCAATTGTACATATTATATTGTTGTACCAATTAATATTATATATCAAATAAAGTACAAAAAAAAAAAAAAAAATGATTTTACTTATTAATATAAACATAATTAGTTTACTAATCACATACCTATGACTACATTTGTCATAGAATCAAAATTGTTTTAAATAAATTTAAGTAACTTTTAAATAGTCAAAAATGCTTTCATTATAAAACGATGGAATAAGTATGGAATACATCTAAAAAATGATTTTAGTGTTATAAAAAATTTTAAATTTATAACTAACATAAACAATACAAAAATTAGACATAATCAAAATAATATAAAATTTAAATAATATTTAATTAATGATTTAAATAAATGATTAATAATTTAAAGTAATATACAAATTAGTGGTATAAATTACACATTAATTTTTTTTTTTTTTTTTTTAGAATAGTAAAAACTCGAGAGCGAGCAGCTGGAAATGGTAATGCGACATCTGGCGGTCATCGTCATCGTCATCGAAATTCTGAAAATGGTTTGTGCATTTTGCTTGCTGTTTGCAACTAATAATATCATTAACTTAATTGTTGGACCTAAATTAAACCTTAAGTTTTTTTTTTTTTTTTAAGTTTAATTTTAAACTGATTAAAGTTTCATTACAAACAACAGTTAATCTTTCCAGAACTTCTCCTCCTACCATACTTGATTAACTCACTATCTCATTGTCTCAACATTAATAATATTAGTAAAATATTGATAATATATAATATAATTATTTACATATGGGATATTGTAAGTACAAATTTAAAATTTGGAATTAAATATAAATTTAAAATTAAAAGCTTCTCTGTCAATTTTGGAATAAAAGAAAAAGAGCAATGCAGTTTAACTTATGTATCATTGCATAATTGTCACTATCATTATTACTATTGTTATTATTATTATTATATTTATCATTATTTTTGTTATTATTGTTATTATTATTATATTTATCCATTATTATTATTATTATTATTATTATTATTGTCATTATTTTTTGTTATTACTGTTATTAACATCATCATCATTTACTGTAACGGCACACTACAAAAATCATATTTATCGTATACCATCATTTACCGTAATCCGACCGGGAATACTGTACCCTTCAAAACTAACAATTTCTGCACATAGACAGTTGAAATTTTCAGTATTTTAAATTTAGCAAAACTGTTACTGAAAAATGTTACGTGAATAAAATAGATGTACATTTTTGATTCCACTTCTTCACCTATTTATTTCATATCAATGAATCATCTATTTATTATAATTGTACAATCAAATACATAACTGAAAATAAAACAACATTCATAACAATCCGTTTAAAATTTTGAACATTTAATTAATAATATTAGATAGCACTAACTGATATAAACAAAAAAATCATTTAATTAATAATACTTTCTTCCATTAGCATAAAATGAAAAAAGAAAAATAAAAGATTGAGTTGATTTAATCATACAAATTAGCATATACATATGTGTGTGTCTATGAAGTATTATAAGCATTTTTTGTTTTTTTGATAATTAAATATTTATTTAATTATTTCTGATCTAAAAAGTAATCAATAAATCAATATTTTCATGTGAAAGTGAAAAGAAAAAAAAAAATGAACGTTGTCGCAGAATGACACAACTTTTCCTTTTTTTTTTTCAGTTTTAAATGCACCCATTTCTCTCATATGAAATGATATCATCACTTTTAGATACGAGAAAGAGAGAGAGAGAGGGACAGAGAGGGAGAGAGAGGGAGAGAGAGGGACAGAGAGGGAGAGAGAGAGAATGAAACAAGAAAAATTGTGGGAGGTCTAATAATCATCAAATTTAACATCAATAAATACACACATACATACATACATACATACATACATGCACACATACATACTACATACATACATACATATACAAACATACATACTACATACATACATACATACACTATATACACACTGAAAGGCTCATTTATTTACAAGTATTGCGCTTCTGAGATTAGCTAAATCTTATCAAAATATGTTAAAATTGTTATTCTCGAAAGTTTCACTCACGTGATTGAAAGGATCTTTTTTCTTCCTTATTTCAAATTTTAATCATAATTTGTCTTAAAAATTGTATATTTTAGCCGAAATTTATTCCATACTTCAAATTCATTCCTTTCATTCATTAAATTTTAGCTAAATTACTTTTTTTCTTCTTTTTTAATTTATAGAATTCAAAATTTGAATGCTTTAGATTATCAATAATTTCTGTTAGACAAATTTAAATTTCTTGCATAAGTGTATCCACTTTATACGAATGCATGTATGCATGCATGCATGTTAATGTTTTTCATGTTATGCATGTGGCTTATATATAATTGTCTAAATGACTACATGATTTGTTTGTTTACTCATTTATTTTATTTGTTTATTTGCTTATTTATTTACTTGCTTGTTTGTTTATTTTGTGTTTTTTCTTATTTTTGTATAAATATAACTATATATATATATATATTTTGATTTGAAAAAAAAAAAAACCATCCTAATCTTCAAATATTCTATCATTAAAACTTATCTTTGTTGCACTTTTTTTTTCTGTATTCCATCTTAATCAATGTTACCTATATTAATAATAATAAATAGTATGCAACAAAGAAAAAAAAAACTAAAAATAATTATTGTTATCTTTTCTTCAGCAAATGTGATAATAATAATAGGCAAAATGTATGTAATATATTAAAAATTCTTATCATTTATTACTATTATCACTAAATTGTTATCATTACTTTATTGTATAGAGTGATAGTAATATATGCAGGTGAAGTAGTAAACGAGTGATAAGCAATAATGCATGACACTAGTTGCTAATTCATTAAAATTCACTACTGTTAAGAATTTGGCCAAGATGACATCAATACTGCGACATATGCGCAATTTAAAATGCACATTCAAATATGGTTGGAGCCGTGGAATATTAAATGTAATTTAAGTACAATTGCTAGGGACGATGCATTACGTTAGATTGGCTACAGATGACATTGATACTGTGACATATGCGCAATTTAAAACGTATCCTATAGCTATACCTATTACGACTACAATAAGTACAACAAATATCACAAATGTAACAACAACAACAACAACAACAACAACAACAACAACAACAACAACAACAACAATAGCTATAACAACAGCAACGAATGAATTTATCGGTAATATCATCAAATGATATAATTAATTATCCATTCATTTCATCGTATTTGTTTCTTACATTAATTTTTTTATTTTAATCATCTCTCTACATTTTTTTATATATTTTGTATAAATAAAAATATATTTTATTTTGTTGTGGCATATTCGTTCATTACTGTTATTCTAGGTTATGTATATTCAATTGAATGAGTTTTTTCTTTTTTTTTTTTTTTTTATTTATTTATAAATTTAATCTATATTCATAAATTTTTATTTCATAAATTCAAAAGGAAAAAAAAAATTACAAATAAAGATTGAACATACATATATATATAATGCATGCAGCTTTTTTTCAATTTTGCATGCAACATTTTTATATATATATGATTTTTATTTTACTATTCATCCATATATATATACATATATACTTATTTATCGTTTATAATTTTATGAGAAAAGAAAAAAAGAGGTCGAAATTCCGAGATGAAATATTATGAATATTTAATTAGAAAATTGATGAATGATTTTGACACATAATAATAGAAACATTTGAAAAAAAAAAAGGAAATATTGAAAATGCATTAAAAAATATCACAAAAACTTATGCATGCAACACTTTTTTTTTCAATTTTTCTCTTTTTTTCTTTTTTTTTTACTATTTTTTTTTTTTTGAATTAAATATTTATTGCTATTGGAAATTAAAAAAGATGAAATGTTTCTTTCAAATTTCATTCACGAATTGCATTTATTTTCCCAACAAATTTATATCCAAATTTTGACAGTTATTGATTTTCTGACAGAATTTTAATGAATGACACTTTAAAAAAAAGCGCACAATGAAAGTTCTCTAAAATCTTTCATGATAAAACAAATTAATTGTTATTATTTATTACTATTAATTAAATTTATCATAATTTCAATTTCAAGGATTGTTTTGTTTGTGCAAATAATTTTCTTGCATTCATCGTATGAGTTTCATTAACAAGTAGACAATACTTAAAATACTCAAAATTATTTTCTTTCTTTAATTAATAGAACTATTGAAGAATTTTTAGTCACTTTAATAAATGTTATTGAAACTTTTTGTAAGAAAATAGATTTTGATAATGAATTTATTTATTTTGTTTTTTTATAATTTTTTTTTAAAAAATTTTTAGAACCACTTCGTAATGATAGCAAATTGAAACCAATCGTAAAAATGAAAAAAGAATCCGGAAACGGTGCACGTCACGTTCATTGCAATGATTGGCGTGAAATGTTAGCTTTGGTTAATGCGTCAAACAAAATATCTGCTAATAATTACGCAGCGCAAACAGATAAGGTAGAAATTGTCAATGATCACTTTACTACTTTGCATAAAGAAATATAAAAGTAGAAATAACCTAAAATTAGAAAATTATAAGCATACGATGAAGCACTGATATTTAAACATATTTTTTATAGGAAATGCATAAAATTGTTATCATTGTTATAATATTAATTAATTTATTTATTTAAACGACATTTTGGAAGTTCCTTTTATAGTTAAGCAATAGATTTCTTAACACTTACTGACTCTTTTATTGGTTTTCTTGTGAGACTGTGAAGTATGAGTTTGAAGAACTAAATTAGGATAAGATTGTTTGGAGAAAATATTTAGATTATTTATTTGGATGTATTAGGATTTCAACCATTTTATAAATAAAACTTATTTTTTCATGTCATTTTTAATAAAGTATATGTGAAGAAAATAAATGACTAATGTCACTTAAACAAGTGACGTAATAAAGATTGATTTATGAAACTGATCAATTAAATTAATCTTTTTCAACAAAAAAATTTCAGGATGCATCACCGAAGTGTTTTACGTCAGGACCACCAGATGTATGTGCAACACCAACTTCATTAACTAGCACAATACATTTGAGAACAAGGGCTACTAGTTCAACTGTAAGTTTATTATCACTTTTTATGGTTGTATTTTTTAGCTGGTTAAAATTTGAAATTATTTGATATGTTGGTTATATTGACAATTTTACCTGAGATGGTATAATAAGAATTCTAATGTAATTGAAAAACTATTTTTTTTTTTACATTAATATCTATTTTCTTTCATTTGCAGTCATTGTTGCAAAATAATTGGGTGGAACAAACATTCAAAAAACGTGAATGCATTCAGTTTATACCAAGTAATCGATATCCTGAAAAGTAAGAATACTTTAGGAAGACTGAATGACTTTTTTTTTTTTTTAATATTATAATTCATATAATAATGAAATGAATATTTTAGATGTTGTTGTGGAAGATTGAAACGGATTCATATCTCAAGTCGACAGTGCTCAACATCTTGGGATATTCCATCAGCTGAAAGAGTTCAAAATGTAGGACGAAGTGATGAAGAAGCCGAACCAGAGATGACTGGTGGTGAAAGTGAGGTTGGACAATCAGTAAGTATAACAACTTTTGCTAAAATATTATTTCCAATATTTCATATCTTTAATTCAGATTATCTATTTTGAAACAAATTTCTATCAAATAGTGTTGTTGAAATTCGAACATTTTTTTTTTTGTATTTTATGGTCTTTTTTTCCTTAGTTTTTAAAAAAGTTCTTTTTTTCTCTCTCTCTCTTCCTTCTTTGTTTTAGAAACAACCTACTACTAAGACTACTGAAAAGTGGTCGATAAGGAAGCATACAGCTCTATTTCCAACCGATGCTTATGGTACAATTGAATTTCAAGGTTGGTACATGATTACTTATAAAATATATTGTTTGCTATCTGACTGTTTAGATCCGATATTTCAGGTGGACCAATTGGTAGACCATTATTATTTTGCTATTGACAATAGTTTTTGTTTTTAATGAAATTAGTATTTCAGTTATAAAAATCATAAAAAATTTATAAGTTATAAAATTTGTTTTATGGATATAGCATCATTGCATGGTTCTTTTGCGATAAGCGAAAATCATTTCTCTACTATCATTTCAGTAATTTAAATGAGAATGATTTTGATGGATTCTTTTTCATTCTTTCAAGTTATGTTAAGTTCATTACAATATTTCAGGTGCACCTCATCCATATAAGGCTCAGTATTTGAGGTTAACAGTTGAGTCAAATCCTGCTGATATTATGGATTTATTCGAATCAGTTTGGAATGTTCCTGCTCCAAAATTAATTATAACAGTTCATGGAGGCATGACTGATTTTGAGTGAGATATTATAGACGTTTAAATTTTTTTTTTTTTTGATTTAACATAATTTTGTGACATCACATCTAAGACTTTTTACTGAGAAAGTTTTTGATGCTCATAATGGCCCGAACACTGAGTAATAGTGATTGTATAGATGAAATGAGTATGAAATGGTAGAGTGAGCAATATTTTCAGGATTTGACAAAATTCGAAGTATTTTTTATTCCAGTTTTTCAGCTTACAACCAAAATTAGCACGAGTATTTCGTAAAGGTTTATTAAAAGCAGCGAAGACTACAGGTGCATGGATTATTACTGCAGGTAAATGATTTTATCAATCTCTTTTGAATTATATAAAAGTTTAAACTTTAACAATCGGTAATTTGAGCTGAAAATTTTCAATAAATGAATTCAATTTTCTAGTAATGAAGGCAATTTAGGCATCAACGCTGGTGTAGTTCGTCAAGTTGCAGCTGCAATTGATGGTTCAGGTAGCGTTTCACGGGTTCGTTCCAAAATAGTCACCATTGGTATTGCTCCATGGGGTTTATTAAAGAAGAGAGACAATCTTTTGGGACAAGTAAGTTTCGAATTTAAATTTGGACTTAATTCTTTAAATCTGAAATTTTCATCTATCAAATTATTGGTCATTTTTGTTACACTTTTTTTGATATAACTGTCTTTATAACATTTCATTTCAGGATGCAGTCGTCCCATATCATCCACATTCCTTCTCTCCTAAAGGTCGATTTGCTGTATTGAATAATAGGCATTCATATTTTCTGCTTGTTGATAATGGTACTATAGGACGGTATGTTTTCAACAAATCCAGCCAGTTCTTACTTTATGTACAATTTCATTTTTCTAATAACACTAAAATTAAATTGCATAATTTGCGGTCTCTTTTTATGTGTTACTTGTTAATTTTTTCTTTCGATCTTAATTTTTTTGTACTAATGATACTGGTAATTATTACGATAATTCGTAGAATGTTTCTGCATCATTTAGTTATGGAGCTGATGTAATACTGAGGAAAAGACTAGAATCATATATTTCTGAAAAACGAACACTTGGTAATGGAACACGAAGTGTTCCGGTTGTTTGTGTTGTCTTAGAAGGTGGAACTTGTACAATTAAAGCAGTTTACGATTGCGTATGCACGTAAGTGTACTTTCTTTAATTGGTTAGTTTGGTGACTCTTATCTATTACTGATTACTTATATACTTAATTTATATCGATGTATATTATTAAACAAAAAGAAAATTGCTATAATGTTAATTCAGTTTTATTATGAAATTTATGATTTCATTTTTATTTTACATGACATTAATTTTATCCATTGAGCTACTGATGTCGTAAGGCTTCCGTCAATGATTAATTTTCAATTTTGTACATCTTGAAATTGTTGAACCAGAAGGTGTACTAGCTTTAATCACTTGAGTACTAAGTGCTCTTGCAAATAAGTGGCATAAAATAAGAGATTTAAACGATTTATTTTTAATATTTATAGGTCACCACGAGTTCCAGTCGTTGTCTGTGATGGAAGTGGTCGAGCAGCTGATTTGTTAGCGTTTGCGCATCAATATGTACAGGAAGATGGGTAATTTTTTTTTTTTTTGTAAATTTTCAAATCAAATCACTAACACTGTTTTCGTTTGGTTACTTGCAAAGTTTATATCCGTTATGTCAACACTTCGGACATCATTACCTACTATCTCTTCTGTAATATAGACATCCTAAAAAATTTTTTATAATATTAAATGAAAAGGCGGATTATGTTCATATACTAATTAGTTGCTATTAATAATTCAAATACATTTAGCTTTAGTTGATCATTTAGAGTTTGTTAAGTTTCCTAGAAAATATTTATATTTTGTTGTCACTTAATCTATAGAGCTGTTCACTTTCTTTTTTCTTTTTTTCCGATGTTCTAATTTTAGACAGTTACCTGAACGTGTCAAACCTCAGTTATTCAGTTTAGTGCAATTTGTATTTGGTTATGATGATGATGCAGCAGAAAAGCTTCTAGAACAATTGATGATGTGTGTTCGTCAAAGGCATTTGGTCTTTTTTTTATTTGAAATAATTTTAAAATTTAAATTTTGTTCGCAAAGGAAGAAATTTTTTAACAAGATTAAAGGATATTGTAATTTTGTTAAGGTATGCCGAGATAAGAGATCTTATCAAACAAAGTTTCTTATGTATTATAATGAGATAAAAAACTTCAACTCTTTATACGCCTTTCTTAATTCGGTTTGTTCTTTATGGACCTCTTTAAAAAAGTTAAAATGACTTGTTACTGATAGAAGAGATATATAGCAATTATTCGAAAGTTCTTCTTAAAAAAAAAAAAAAATTTTTAGCATTTTAAAAATTTTGTATTGCAGATAACAGTTTTCCGTTTGGGTGAAGATCAAAAACAAGATGTTGACCATGCAATATTGACGGCTTTATTGAAAGAGCAGAATTTATCAGCACCAGATCAGCTTGCATTAGCATTAGCTTGGAATCGTGTTGATATAGCACGATCAGATATATTTGTGTTAGGACAGGTTTAGTATTTAATTTTCTGAATATATGCAATAAACATTAAAATTCATTTTCACGAACAAACATTTTAAAAAATTTCATATTACAAATAACACTTTTTTTGTTTGTATGAATTATCATTAAATGAAAAATGGTATGCTTTTGAAATCATATAATATTAGCATTAAAAGTATTAGAAATAAAAATTAGAATGATAAATATTAAGTTTAAAATTTTTTTAGGATTGGCCAAAAACAGCCCTCCATAATGCGATGATGGAAGCTTTAATAAATGATCGAGTTGATTTTGTTCGTTTATTGCTTGAAAATGGCGTGAGTATGGGTAACTTTTTAACCATTGGTCGACTAGAAGAGTTATATAATACGGTAAGGGAAAATTCCTTATTCTTACAATAGCAGCTGATATATATATATATATTTTTTGTTTGATTATTCTTATCAAACAGTATAAATTGATTTATTCAGATTAGATATTTGTTAGAATATATCTCAGTGATTAAGACTTTTAGAAATGAAACTATTAAATTATGAATTTGTAGAGGTTAAATTTGTGAGAAACAAACAGGTGTTAATTTATCATTCGCTTACTGCCTCATAATTTGCAATAGACTACTTTCTCTTTTCTAATTCCAGAAAAGTCCATAAATCAGCTTTTTCTTTTTATACTATTCACATAATTTCATACAATTGAATTCATCATCAATTAATAGGCTTAGAAATGGAATGATATATTTTTTTTACATGATGTAATGGATTAAATTATTATTAAATTTTAATATCATTCAGTATTTTAAGACATAAGCAATTTTAGGATAAAGGACCGCCTAATACACTTTTCTACGTAGTACGTGATGTGGTTAAAATTCGTGACGGATATCGTTATCGGCTACCTCACATTGGTCTTGCAATTGAAAAACTTATGGGTTATGCTTATAAATCATCGTATACAACAGAACCATTCCGTTCTAAATATCTTCTTTATAGGAATAAATTAAAGGTATATAGTTATTAATTTTTGGAATGCAAAGCTAATAATAGCTAGCATACATTCCTGGCTACCTTTATTTTTTATTACTATTTTTTTTTTTTTTTTTTCATATGTTTGATTTTTAGCACAATTAGTTTTAAAAATTATCCTTCATTTTCACTATGTTTAAAATTTATAAAAGTTTCCAATTTTATTTCTCTTTTTTCTTTTTTTTTTTTTTTTAAGAAACTTCGGAAACAAAATCAAGATAGTATGCGAGATTCCTTCATATCTGATGGATTTGTTACACCATTGGCAAATCCGGATAATCTTGTTACGGATTCTGTTTTGGCTGCATATTCTGGAAATCGTGCACTAAGTCATCATATATTATGGCGCTCAAGGCGAGATGTATGTTTTTAGCATATATAATTCTAAATTTTCAAAGTTATTAGTTCCGTTTTATTTTACTTTAACAATAAACTTCGGTGATGAAATGATTGGAAGAATGTAAATTTCCAGAATCCAGCAAGTAATTTTGGAATAATGGCACCACCGAAACCGGTTGCCGTGCAAGAAACAGTTATTGATATCGAAAATGGTAAGAATCAGTTGTAATTATGTAATATTGTGGATAGCATTTCGGAATTTTGTAGTACTTCTTTTTCTTACCTTTACCATTTGTAAAATTTGATAATTTCATCTTAGAACTGTAATAAAATTATTAATTGTGTAATATTGTACATAGCATTTCGGAGTTTTGTGGTATTTCTTCTCTTTTTTAACCATTTGTACATTTGACAAATTTAATTTAATGAATTGTGATAAAATTGTTGATGGCTTTATATTTTCAGAATCTTTATGTTCGGATACGGAAAAAGATGTGGATGATTTCAAATATCCATTTAATGAACTTCTTGTTTGGGCTGTTTTAACCAAACGACAAGAAATGGCATTATGTATGTGGCAACATGGTGAAGAAGCTATGGCAAAGGTTCATTTTATTTGTTATATGTTAGATTAAATTTAAGAATTTGGTCTGATTTGTCTTCTTGTTAATTGAAAACTAGCATTTATATCATTTTAAAACGGCATTTTTTTTTACAATTGGTATTTCAAAAAGCTCTATGAAATTTCTATTTTTTTTCTTGATTTTGTGGTATTTACAATTATTTCTAAGAATTGTTTCGAGAAAATTGTGTATATCTAAACTTAACTTCATTATTGGTTAAAAAATATAAGTAAAAAAATATATGTATGTAAGCATGTGAGTAAAACTGTAAAATAATAGAATTTCTGTGGAGTTTTACAGGCATTGGTAGCATGTCGATTGTACAAGAGCTTAGCAAAAGAAGCTGCAGAAGATTATTTAGAAGTTGAAATTTGTGAAGAATTAAAGAATCATGCAGAGTGAGTTTTTATGTTGATTAATTTATGTTTCAAATTTTTTGTTTTGATTTTTGTGCTGAAATTCGGTTCTACTAAATATATTTATATCGTGAATACATGTAGCTATTGAAAATTTTCATGTGCAATTGTGCTAGTAATTAGAATGTTAAACAGTAATGTTTGAGTTTCAAATATATTTGAGTAACATTTATTATAAAATGTATTTTTTCAAAAAAAAAGAAAGAAGAAAAAGTGCTTATTATTCAGTACTAACTCACTGGGTTAAATGACTATATAATGTTGAACTAGATAAATTAAATATTTCTTATATTTTCATTCTTAGGATTTATTCAAGTCCAAATAAAATCTTATCACTTTAATATAATAAACATTAATTTTTTTTTTTTTTTTTTTCAAAGGGATTTTCGTAAACTTTCGTTATCACTACTGGAACATTGCTACAACCACGATGATGCACGAACACTTCAGTTACTTACTTATGAATTAATCAGTTGGGGGAATGAAACTTGTCTTTCGCTTGCTGTAATGGTCAATAATAAACAATTTTTAGCTCATCCATGGTAAAAGTTTGCTATTATTTTTTTCAAATTTTTATTGTTGTAAAATGACAAATACATATTGTTAATAATTTAACCAAAAAAAAAAAAATAATAATTAATATATTATATTTTGATGAGATCAGTTTGATGCGTGCATATTTTTATTAATAGACCAAATTACCAAACGAACGTTTAAAGTGATGCATTCAATTAGATTGATAATATTTTTCTTTTTTTTTATTAACTTTTCTGATATATTTCAGCTGTCAAATTCTATTAGCTGATTTGTGGCATGGTGGTCTAAGAATGCGTAGGTAAGAAATTATTTTGTTCTCTTTTTTTTTTTTTTTTTCGTTTTTTTTTAATTCTTTTTTTAAGAAAAATTTCAACATTGTTTTAAACAGTTACATGATTTATTTTCGATAGCATTTTATTTTTCTTTATATTTTATTTTAAAACCACTAGATGAAGTCTTTTTTCTTTTTTTAAGTTTTCATCTTTCTTTTTTTTTTCTTTTTTTCTTTTGCTTTATTTTGTTCATTGGTAGAAAATTTTATCGGAAATTTTCAGTCATTCCAATCTGAAAGTATTATTTGGTCTCTTTTGTCCATTAACGATATTCTTGTTGGAATTCAAATCACGCGAAGAATTATTGCTGCAACCGCAAACTGCAGCAGAGCATGAAAATGATCTCAATGATAGCTCCAGTTCTAGTTCCAGTTCTGGAACTGATTCATCATCAGATTCGGATTTCAGTTCGGATGATGAATTTCAGGATGTATGAATTTTTTTTATCTTTTAATAAGCAAAATTACATAATTCGAAAATGATTGAGTATTGAGTTTTGTAAGAAGACTTTTTCTTCAGTAAGATTTGTTAATTTATAACTCTTTTTTTTTATAATAATTTAATTTCTGAAATACATTAGACGATTGTTTTTTGAATTTGTTTAGCGGAACATGCAAATATTTCAAAAAACAATTTATCATTTTGTTTTTAGAATGAACAAGATGGAGAAAGGCGAAGAAATTCAGCAGAAAGTACACAGTCAATGAATTTAGCTGGGGTAATTTTTAACTTATTGTAATTGAAATATGTGTAAAAGTCAATGGAATCATACAACTTTAGATTGGTAGTTTGTTTAGTTGAAAGTAAATAAATAATGATTAAAATATATTTAATTGCTTTAAAGATAAAGATCGATTCATATTGGAAAAAAAACGCTATATTTGTCTTTGTTTAAAATTTGTTTAACGCTTTTGATTGCTTTAGATGATATTTGATTACTGATTTGGAAGTGATACAGGTGATATTAACTTACATATGCACAACTATATTAATTTGCATATCACAAATATATGTTGTAATGAAAAGTACTTATGAAAACGTGTAGGATATTTAAAATGGTATTATTTTCAAACAAGTTTTATCAATTTTTTTTTAAAGCTATTCCAGGGTAGACGAAAACGTACTCGACCTCATCTTAAAGATGGTAGTTCGATGTCAAATGGTGGAAATATAACGTCACCACATGAAATTATCGAAATTTCAAATGTCAACAGCATATTAGCTGTAACTAATGGTGCAGGTTGATTATTTCATTATATTGTTTTTTAATTTACTTAATTTTAATGATTAATCTAATTATGGACAGGAATAGGTTTAATATTGGGCGGATTTTTTTTGTTTTAAATAAACATACATTAAGTGATATTTAAAAATACTTTACCTTAAGCCATATGTAATTTAAAAAATATATTGTTTAGTTAAACCTGTTTTAAGAGGAAAAAATTACTGCTATTATTATATTGATCATTCATTAACATATTCTCTATTTACATTTAAATTTGTGTAATTTAAAAATACATTCATGTTTTAATTTTGTATGAAATCAATTTATAACATATATAATATATGTATCTTGTCATTTTTTGTTCATTTCATTTTTATTTTCTTCAAAATTTAGTACTAATATTTAATTTTTTTTTTGGTATTAAAATTAGGTGCAACTTTTTTTTTTAGGAACTGTATTCAATTCTCCTAGAAATCATGCTCGAAGCAGATCAATAACATCAATCCAAAGTCGAATCAGTCAGCAGCAACAAGCTGGAATTACACCACGTAAAACTCCGCCAAAGCAAATTTCCACAAGTAAAAGTAATTTTGATGCATACCTATTATTTTTAAGTAAGCCTAACTTATGTCTTTTCAATTACAATTTTTTTAAATTAATAGAAGAAACCATTTCTAGATTGTCAAATGTCTAAATTCATTCTTGAATGTTAAAATTACTATTTTAAAATGTTTGAGATATTACATTAATTATTTTTTTAATACTCAGAAGTAAATTGTTTATATCATATATGGAAATTATTCGAAATTTTAGAAGAACGTATAACTCATCGAGAAACTTGCTCATCATTAACAAATTGTGTTTGTGGAATAATGAAAGGTAAAAATTTGCAACGTAAATTTGATTCATCCGATCATGGCAACAAGTCTGCACCTCCATCACTTTCTAAAATGGTTACAATAGCTGGGCAAACTGTTCCTCATATGGTCAGCATTTGATTTTTTTTTTCCCTGTTAAAAAAAATTTTTATTTGTGTTCAGAATTGTAACTGTTAAAATTACTTTTTAAAGTGTTTTTAAATGTTCATAGACTATTTTAAAATTCAGCTTATTATACATTTCATTAAAGTAAATCCATCATTAAATTTGACTTAGGTGGTAAATGATGGTATATAATTCAGTATGTAAAGTTTATTTCTCATATTAATTGAAACTTTTGATTGAATGTATAGCAGAAATTTAGCATAACTAACAATTAGTCATAATATGAACAAAAAAAAAAAAAGTAGCAAAGAAAAAAGACGATATTAAAATATGAAATAAACATTTGAAAGGTTGGAAATGAAGTAGTATTTGTGCTTATGCAAAGTGGTGAATATAATCATTCTTAAAAGTTTAATTTAAATTTTTAAAGTTTTTTTTTTACAATTCAATTTAAAGCAGTTATATTGAAATTTCATTTTTTTTTAGAGGCCGATCAAATTTCGCCGAAAGATGTACGAATTTTATGTCGCTCCAATTACAACATTTTGGGCATGGGCGATTACTTTTTGTGTATTCTTATGTTGCTTTGCTTATACATTACTGGTTAGAACATTAATTAGGCCAACATGGCTGGAATGGCTTGTTTTTGCATATGTTACTGTATTTGGTTTAGAGCATTTGCGTAAGGTAACTTTTTGTTTGATAGTTATTGATGTAATTTCAAATTTCATAAAATTAAATTTTTTTTTTTTGACAGAATTATTATTAGATTTATGATATTTTAGAAACAATCCATATTTTAATTTAGTTAATTAAATTAGCGTGCAACATCTATAACATTTTTTATGTTTAATTCGTCCAATCATTTCTTCTTTAAAAATTAAAAGTAAGTGAAATTGAAAGTTCAAAATCGCATGGATTTCTTGGATTTTGTTTGGCATTTAATGATTAAATGGTCAGATAATAATGATTTCTTTTAAATTATCATAATTTTTGTTCGATTATATGCTTCAACTATTATTGAGCTATTATTACTTATAGGAAGTGAAAAATTTTTTTTTTGTTTATGAAAAGAAATTTTTTCTTTTTTTTTTTGTGCGTGTTTTGTTAATAGTTTTTGTTTCAGTTTATTATGTCCGAACCAGAATCATTTGCTCAAAAGGCTAAATATTTTTTCAATAATACATGGAATTTATTAGCAACTTTAGCCGTTGCAACATATTTGATTGGATTTGGATTACGCCTGGATGTAAAACATAAATCAGTAAGGTTAGCATCAATTGATAATTTTAAACGATGAAATTATCTTTAGTTTTTCTTTTTTTTTAAAGTTTTTTTAAAGAATTTTTCAAAATTTAGCAAATGATTTTTTTTTTCTTTTTAAATATTTATTCATATTTAGAGCAATTGGAAGGGTAGTGTTAGCGTGTAATTCGATGCTTTGGTCTATTAAATTGTTAGATTTTATAAGTGTTCATCCTCGTATGGGACCTTATATTACTATGGCTGGAAAAATGGTATAATTTATCATTGATAATTCATTTAAAATTATTTTTTGTTTAATTTTTATTTTATTTCATCTTTTCTAATCAAAATTTTTTATCACTACCAAATATGCAAATGATAATATTTAATATTTATTCTAATTTTTGAGTGAAATTACTACATATGGCTGAAATTAACTTTTAAATTTTTTTTAGATTCAAAATATGCTATATATCATTGTACTATTATTTGTTTCAATGTTAGCATTCGGTTTGGCTCGACAGTCAATTACTTATCCCAATGAAAGTTGGCATTGGCTTCTTTTACGAAATATCTTTTATAAGCCATATTTTATGCTTTATGGAGAAGTATATGCTGGAGAAATTGATACATGTGGAGATGGAGGTTTCTTTTTTTTCTTTCAAAATTTATTCGAAATTTTATTTGAATTTCACAAAATTATAAAGCTCTTTATGTTAAGATTGTTTATTTTATTTTTTTGTTTTTGATAATTGCTTTAGTAACTTATTATTTGAAATATATGAGTCAAAGTTATCTATATCAAAGTTAATAATACTTTCAGCTTGGGATACACATATTGAGAAAGGTATTGCAATCAGTGATTTATATAATGGAACACGTTTTGGTTAGTATTTGAAATTATATAAAATTCACATCACTAATTTAATTTCTATTTAATTGTTTAAAATTAAGTATTGATTGTTTATGATTGAAAAGTGATTATTGTTTGTAGATGAGACATGTCCGCATGGTTATTGGGTACCACCATTATTGATGACAGGTTTTTTGCTCATTGCTAATATTTTACTGATGAGCATGCTTCTGGCAATTTTCAAGTTTGTTTACATTATTATTACTCATAAGTTGTTTTTGTGGAACAATAATATATTAAGTATTTTTTATTGATTAAATATGTTTTACGTAAAATAATGATTTGATTGTTTTTTAGTAACTTTATTTGGTATATGAATTTTAAATACGAATATTTAAATACTTTATTTTTTGTTTTTGTTTACAGTAACATTTTTGAAAAAACGGATCGTGTTTCAAAAGAGATTTGGCTTTTTCAACGTTATCGACAGGTAATGGAGTATGAAAGTACACCATTCCTTCCTCCTCCACTTACACCTCTCTATTATTTATGGATGATTTTTAAATGTATTAAGACTAAGAGGTAATTTTTATATTTACATCTAAGAACAGTTTTCATTTCAATTTGTTTTGTAGTTCTTTTTTGATAACGAAGATATAATTTGATAAAAAAGTAATATTATTTAGTTAAGGAAAAAATTTTATTTTTAAAGAATGTTTATGTCTTATTATTTATCTTTTTGTTTAATAAAACTATTATTATAAGCTCCATTTTTTTTTCTGTATGAGAGAGGAATTTATTATAGCAAAAATATTTGGATGATACCATACAAAATGATTTGTTATTTCAGAAATTGCACAGCAAATTCAAAACTTACGACAAAAACGAATTCGAAACTTTTTGATTTTGCATTAAGTAAGTTCGTATAGTTGTGCAACAAATTGGAAACCTATGACAAATATGCAAGAATAAATAATTCTTTTATATTAATATTGAATAAATTTGCTTTAGATACATAAAAATGTTGAAATTACTGAATTATTTCTTTTTTTTAATTTATTGATTTATAAACTTATTGCAGTTAATTTTAACATATTTATTAATGCTATTTTCAATAAATTATCTATGTATACATATAAATTTGGCTAATCGTCATAAATTTAAGCTAATATTTTTATCATTTGACAGAGAATTACTCTCAATTTGATTTTCAATTTACAGAGTTATTTTTGAATGCTGATCAAGTGGAGAAAATACATGATTTTGAAGAAGAATGTATGGGAGATTTAGCTCGTGAAAAAGACTATGAAAGGAGTACATCAACCGAAGAAAGGATTCATCGAACTGCAGATAGGTAATATTATCAATAAATTATCACTGATCTCATTAAGTTCTTCTACTTTCTTCTTTTTCTTTTTTTTTTTTTACTTGCAAAAAAAGTTGAAATTATAAGAATTGATCGTAAATATGATCGTAAACAAATTTTTTCAAAGAAACTTAGTTTTTTAATATTCTGTTAAGTCGATATGAACATTAAGATATGTCTTGATAATACTGCATTTTATTTTATTTTTCTACATTTGAAACGAGAATTGATTGAAATGTAGGATCATGAATTTCTTATACTAGGTGTCTTATATTTGTTATCTAATTTATACGATTTAAAATTAATTTTTTAATTCATAGCATTGCAGTCTGTTATTTTCATTTACTTATTGATACAATTAATTGTTATAATTATCAGTTGATTTGAAAAGCAAAAATTTAGATAACTCTTTGTGCATTTTTCTCAATAAATTATTAATTTTATAGTTTAAAATTTTATATATTTGATATGAGAATATTTAAACGAAATGAATTCTTTGTCATTTTTTTTTTAAATTTGAGATTCAAATTTTTATATTTTTTCTTGTATCTTTTAATACAAAAGAAAAAGAATTTTTCGTTTAATATTTAATAAACTGTATTTTCAAAAAATTTCTTTTGTATTTTTAAAGTTGAAACTCAAATTTTTATTTAGTATTTGATGACATTTTATAATTTGTAAAGTTTGCAGAGAAAAAGATGTTTTTATCTAAGAAATTAAAATATGCAGTTTTTTAAATTTTCACTTTTTTAAATGAAATTTTTAATTTTAAAATCATTTTCGTTAGTACTTTTGCATGTTATCATTATTTCTGATTCCTTTTAGAGCTGATCTTATACTTGTTCGATTGAATGATCTTGCAAGTAAGGAATCAATTCTGAAAACAACAGTACGTAATTTAGATCGTCGTTTGGAAATTATAGAAAGTAGACAGGTATGCTTTTTTTTTTTTTTTTTTTCATTTCATTATAAATTTAAATTTTGATAACACAACAAACAATTTTACTATAGATTATGAATATAACACAACTTTGAAATAAGCTTAAAGTGTTTTATCACAAAATCATTTTATTCAATTCATTTATCCATTCTTTATTCAAATTTTTCAAGAAAAAAAAAGAAAAACTGATTAGTTATTTAAAAAAAGAAGGAATTTTTTTCTTTTTTTTTTTATCGCTTCTATATTTTTTGTATGACAGACAAATATGATATTGTATAAATATACTAAAATATTTATTTTTCATATTTTAACAATACATCTTCTCTATCATTATTTCTATAACTCACTCAGATTAAAATGAATAATTTGATCGTTCTTTTTTTTTTGCAAAAAATAGTAATTTACATTTATTGTTAGTAAAAAAAGAAAATATTAACAAAAAAGAAAAAATTAAAAATGAAATAAAAAATTATTAATTTTTTAGCATGAAATGCTTGATTATATGCGTCAAATAGTTAACGCACAACCATATCTGATTCAAAAGGTATCAGAACCAGATAGTGGTAGTTTCTCGTTATCATCAACACAACCAAGCTCATCAACAGATGAACATAATCAGGCAAATTTATCACATACTACCGATTTAGCAGATCTTTCAAATACTGATTACTTATCAAAAAAAGAAAGAGTAAGTTTTTTTTTTTTTCTCCCTCTCTTTTTCATATCCTTTATTTCATTTTATTTTAATTTAATTTTTTGCTAAGTGATAAAGTTTATCAAATTTAACAAGAAAAAAGATTTTGAATATACTGTAGTTACAAAACATTTAGATGAAAAATAAAAAACAAAGAATGACATTATTATGTAAAGAAAAAAAAATTTTTTTCAAGTTGTATTTTTTTTGTATTTTTAAAATTTAGAGTAATTTCAAGAATGTATATGCTATAAAATGAGTGATGTAAAATTATTTGATTGTTTTTTCAAACGATGATATAATTTATGATTGTAAATTTGCATAGTGAATTTATTTTAGCTGAAAACTGAATCTTTGGGAAATTGTTATCAAAGTACAACCGAAGAAGCAGGTAATAACTTTACTGGTTATAATATATTTAGTCTTATCATTATCATTCTTATATCTTTTATCACAATTATTATCATTAGCATTACTATGCCGAGTTCATCGCAGTTGTAACCATTTTATTGTAGAATAGTTTAAACTTTCTATGCTTTCATTTCTTTTTACTTTCATGTCTCTTTTTCATCATCATGGATACGAAGATTTTTTGACATCAAATTATAAATATGATTGAATCTATCGAATTACAAAATATGATTAAAGTACTCAAAACTGTAATTATTAATTTGTTATCAATTATAGCGATTGAAAATAGGAAATGATTAGAAATTGAGTTGGTAAGAGTGAATAGAAATGATATCAATTTTCCTTTCATCTTTTTCTCATTTATTATTTCTTATTTTGATTATAGAATAACTCTTTGATTATGAAAAGTAACTCTTTGATTATGAAAAGCAACTCTTTGATTATGAAAAGTAACTCTTTTGATTATGAAAAGTAACTCTTTTGATTATGAAAAGCAACTCTTTGATTATGAAAAGTAACTCTTTTGTAGATATTTGAAGAAATAATAAATAATTTTTCTTTTTTAGCTCGCCCAGCTGCTCCAAGAAAGCGTGCTCGTACGACAACAGTAACAAGTTGTGTGGAAATTCAGGCTAGTTCACAAACTAGTGTAGAAAGGTATATGCTAAAGATGAATTCTGATTGTGAATTAAATTTTCTTATATTGTATTATTGAAATTTTCTGTGCTTTATATTAATTTTACCAAATGTATTTCATCCGAATGAAATTACTAGTATCAACTATGAAATTATTTTAACAATTAAGCTAATATATTAATAATTAGATATAAATGTTAAAAAAAAATGCTAAATTTATATTTTAAAAAAGTTTTTTTTTTTTTTTTTAATATGAAAATTTTGTGCTAAACTTGGATATTGTCTTTGGTTGAAATTCATGGATGAATATTGTACAGATATAAGTTTGAAGTACTATAGTATATTAATGAAATTCATATACCATTTATTATAAGTGATTTAAAATTTATTTGTAGTGTTGCTTCTGGTCGTTTTGGAAGTTTATTATCGCTGAATCCAGCTATATTGAGTCGTGGAAATGATAATTCTGTTATTAGAAAGAATGCATGGTAAAAAAAATTTTTTTCAAATCATTTTCTTTGCACTATTTAGCTAAAAGATTAATATCATAGATTTGTTGACAAAATTTCTATCAAAATATTTAAAACATTTTTTTTTTCTTTTTTTTTTGCAGTAATTTTTGAAAAGAATTTTTTGTTTGTATTTTATGTTTCATTTTTCTTTTTCTCTCGTTTAGTGTAACAGATGGTGTAAGGCGTGCAAGACGACATGAAGAATATACATCAATAACTGATGCAATTAATTTAGATGAATCTCAACTTAATAAGGTTTTCTTTTTTTTTTTTTATTTACGATACTTTACCTTTAAAAAAATTAGAGTTTTTCTATTTTAAACAATAAATTGTATTTTAATTAAGATTTATTACAATACGACTTTCTGATAAATATTGCATTAACATTCCGAATTATTTTAAATGAAATGTATTATTGTTTTTTTTTGAGAGATTCTTTGCGCATGTTAGATATCGTTATTTTAAATTTTATTATGTAATAAAAAATTTTACTATTTTCTTTTTTTGTTTATTTTTATAGTTTAAACTGATAGGCACATTGTTTTTTTTTTTTTTTTTTTTCTAGTAAGTAATACAGATATTGAGGGAAAATAATAATTAATAAAAATATTAGATTTGTTCAAATGATAAATAATGGATATATTTGATTATTGTAAATTGTTTATTTTGCTATCATTTTTTCCTTTTCTCTTCCTTTATTTTGATATTTTTTTTTTTCTTTTCTTCTTTTCAGAGTCATTTTTGTGATAATGATCTTTCTGAAACACGTGATGGTCATCATGTGGAAAATGATGATTTAGTTGATGATGATAATATGGAACCACCGTACAGTGGTACAGTTACACCAACAACAACCTTACGAAGAGCAAAAGAAAGTTTTTTACGTCAACAAAATGATATTTTTAAAGAATATGAGGAGGTAAGAGTTTTCTTTTCTTTGAATTAAAATATGTTTGATGAATTTAAATTTAAATATTTTCAAATTCTATTTAATAAATAAATACTTCTTCATTTTTTTTTTTATAAATCAATAAAAAACGAGTCCTTTTTTTTTGAGCTCATTGTTTGCTTATTTTATTATTTGCTATAAATATTAAAATGAGTTGTTGAAATTTGTACTATTTAAATTATTGAAATAGTTATTGTCTAATATGACTAATAAAATTTTTGTAAATATTTGAATATAGCATTTTATTTTTTAGCAAGTTATGGTTACTGGTGCTGGAGAATCAGCTCCGATCAATGAAAGTGATATTGGAGATGAAGTGCCAAGTGGTCATAGTGATATGGGAGAGGAACCGAGAATTATTCTGGGTGATGAAGAGCTGCCAGATTCTAGCAAAGTAAATTCGATATTACTTCCTCTTTATGATATGATTATATTAGTAGTAAATGATTAAGTTAATTTTAATAACTATTTTAGCCTTAAAGTTAGAATATCTTTTTTAAAAATCACTGATTGATGCAAAAAAAAAAAAAAAATGTTACATAATTTATTCGAAGGCAATACATAATTCTTATATTTATTATACTTTTTTATTTTTAATTAAAATAAAATTTTTTCAATGTTTATGTTTTAATTAATTTTTTTTCCTATTTTGTTTGATGATTTTTGACTTTTCTTTTTTTTTTTTATTATAGGAATATATTGAATTTTGCATTAAACAACATTCAGAAGATGAATCAATGTCTTCCTGTGCTGCTACTGCTACTACTACTGCTGCTACATTATCAGATCAATTAAATTCAAATATAGAAGAGCAGTCGATTCATACAATTATTGAATCGAAATCTGTTACTTTACCTTCTTCTAATAATGAGATAGAAAGTACTCGAATTGATGAATTTCATCGATAATAGAAATTGTTGTTTTTATTATTCGAGTAAACTGATAATGAAGCAAATAATTATTTCTTATTTTTGTTCGCTCACTTTATAAACTTTATTCAGGAATACCTACTGAAATGAAACTAGTCATTATTGAATTATCAATTGTATGTTTTAAAAAAGGAAATATGAATTTTTGAAATTTCAACTGAATATCTATTTAAAAATAAGAAAATTTATTTTGATTTTTTTTTTCGAACAAATTTTGAAGTATTTTGAAATTTCGAATTTTTTCAATATATTTTATTTTGATTTTGTAATTATTTATGTTTATATATGTGCCACATATATATATATTTTTTTTAATATAAACTTATCTTTTTTTGCATTCTATGTAATAATATTTTGATATGTTATCAATTGTTTTCTCTGTTTCATTTGCATTTTTTTTTCATCAGTTTTATATCACTACAATTGAATGGAGTGCATTATTATTATTATTATTATTATTATTATTATTATTTCTGCTATTATTATTTATTTCTGAATCACTTATCAAAAAATTTTTGTTCCTCACTTTTTTTTTCCCATTTTTTTCTTTTTTCAACAATATCTTATTTTAAATTATTTTAATTGTAGAATAAGTTTGAATTTTATGCAATACAATTTGATGCATTCAGATGAAAATGAAATTAATTCAAAGAATTGAGACGAAAAAACAAAAACGATCAATTTAAAATTAACGAATTGTAAAATGCTTTTATGTTTTCAAAAGTAAAAAGTACGAATAAATTAAAACTAAATAGTGAATAAATTAGATCGAAATTTATTGTATGCTAAAATTTTCTCCAATATATGATGATTATACTTGACCTATGAGGTCAATGCTTGACCTTTTATTGGTTCATTATATTTTCATTGTATTGCAATACTTTTGTTATCATTACATCACAATCATAGTGATATTGATGTGCTGTAAAGGAATTATTAAAAGTAAAAAGTTCACATTACTAAAAAAAAATATAGCAAAAGGGATATTCTATCAAATTTTAATCATTTTTTTTCACAATTATATTAAAAAATTTTTAAATACAATTATATTTCTAATTTTATTTCATCTGTTTTTTTCGTTCTTTCCTTTCGTTTTTTTCATCATTTCTCATTCTTTACTTATAATATTTTTCTATCATCTATCTATTACAAAATTTTCTTTAAAAAAAAATCTTTTTTTTAATGAATTTAATTTCTTAGCATATAAAAAGGAAAAAAAAAAGAGATTTAAAAAATGCAGTAATAATGGTAAGGAAGATATATGTATTATAAAATCAAATTTATTTCATAAAATTATTATTCTTATGGCAAATAAGATCATTAAGTTTATATATTTAATAGATGGATCAAATTATACTAAAATAATATAAATAAATGATTTTAAAACAAAAAGCTAAGTCGAAATATATATAATTTCTTTTTTTTTTGGATTTCTTTAAAATTTCTGAAAAAAAGTAAAAAAATATTGGAATGAAATTCTGAAAAAAAAAACCGAAATTTGGTTAAATTATTTTAGTATTATTTATTCTTATAGATTTATTTTCATGCATTGTTTATATTTAATGAATTGAAGAAAAAAGAAAATTAAAAAAAAAAAAACAAAGAAAAAAAAAGCACTTATAAATTAATGGAGCATTTCTCAATAAATGCATTTATCGAGAAATGATGAATTTAATGAAATGATATTTTAAAAAATTTCAATAAATCAATCTCTTCTTTCTATTTCATTCCATATTATAACTTAAAATGTTTATTAAACTAAAATTCATTACTTTTAGTTTGAAAACTTTGTAATTTTATTTTTAAAAATATTATAAAATTTTAAATTTATCAAAAATCAAATTGATGTTGAAATCACTAATATTTAATTCCTTTTTTTTTCTGATTAAATTTCTCCATTTTAAATAATTTACTTTAAATAATAATTAATTTACTTTTTTTTTTTTAAATAATAAATATAATTTCTCCATTTTTAAATACTAATTTACTGATTTTATTAATTAACCAATATTTTATAACTTAAAAATTAACTTTGCATTTGAACATTTCAATTTTATATTCCATCAAAATTTAGGCATAAGCAAAAAAAAAAAAAATTTATTTAATTAAATTTTTATATTTATACTTTTAACACTTTCAACAATAATCAATGATAACATTCTCTTCTACTATAAATAATAATAATATATAATAAATAAATGATAATTAATAATAATTGGTTCTTATACTAATTATTAATTCTAAAAAAAAAATTTTTTTTTTTTTGCGCTAATTATGATTTTTTGCTTATGGTAAGAATTTTAGTATTAAATTAAATTAGAGCAGCTTCATATTCTAGACCAAATTGTCTCAGAAAACTGATATCAATCCGGAATAAGCCTGGAAAAAAGAAAAAATAATTATCAAATAAAAAAAAAAAGAAAGAAATTTTATAATATTATAAGATTCTTCTTTTCAGTTAGTAATTATTAACTATAATATAAAATTTTTATGATTGAAATTGGAATTAAATTAAAGAAAAAAAAATAAAGTAAAATCATTAATTAAACAAATTTATTAAAAATGCTAACCATATTCACCCCAATTTCTTCCATATGAATTTACAGCAATCCAATGAAATATTCGATCACTATCATAACCCCATCCAATAATTCTCACAACATGCCAATAAACAATCCGATCCGTAAAACCATTTTCCGGATATGGTGTATAAATTCCTGATATTATGGAAGGAAAAATTCATAAACTATATAATAAATAATATTATTTTCTTTTTTTAATAAGTTTTTTCCTCTCTCTCTGCTCCACTTTACAATTAATAATATCATTATATTTCAATAATTCAAATAAGCCTAAATTAAATAAAATAATAATATCACTGTATTTTATTAAATGAAATAAAACGAAAAAAGAAATGGAAAAACAAAATTAAAAAAAAAAGTAAAAGTAAAATAATTTTAAAATTTCTCAATTTATATTTTAAAAATAAATTTAATTTATTAGCACAAAACTGAAATATGGACTAAAATTTTTATTACACAATAATTATTTTTTTAATAAATAGATGATGATAATTAAAAAAAAAAAAAAAATTGATTGTATACATTTTACCATTTTCATAATGTAAAAATTCTTCAGCAACCGGAAAAGCCATTGTCATTGGTCCAAAAAGATAAAGTTCTTTTTTTAAAATTTCTAATGTCTAAAAATAAACAAAAACTCACATTTATTATTTGTAAATGATTAAATAAGAAAAATTTTATAAAAGAATTATAAATATAAATTTCAAAAATTGCTTAGGTATTTGCAAGAATTATATCAAATTTAAATAGAACTAAAAAAAAAGATGACATATTATTAATAACAATAATAATAATAATAACAATCGTAATAATAATAATATTAATAGTAATAATAATAATAATGTTAATAATAATAACATTAATAATAATAATAATGGTAATAATAATATTAATAATAATAATATTAATAATAATAATAATAATGGTAATAATAATATTAATAATAATAATAAAATAATAATAATGAATTGTGCATTAATTTATATTATATGTGATCAATCTATCAAATTTTCAGATACAATATTAGTGTGATCATTTCAACAAACAAATTGAATGTTTTAAATTATCGATGTAATATATGAAATAAGAAAAGAATATGATAACATTAAATTTAAATCTAATAAAATAAAATACGAAGAAGAAAAGAAAAAAACACAAATTTATGATTATTTATGTTTTTTTTTTTTTTTACTTTACCTCATGAAATGATAATAATTTTTTGGTATTATTAATAAATTTAGTATTGAAATAATCCATTACTGCTGGTACAATAATATAATCATTTGCAGTAACTGATAAGACACGTGGCAACATTGTATATGCTATTGATGCTAGAAGAAAATTTTCAGTTAGCTATATTATGATTAAATTAAAAAAATTTTCTCTTCAAAAAAAAAGAAGGAGTAAATTTTTTTTATTTGAAAATTTCAAGCTATTTGAAATTTTAAAACAATTCAAAAAATTTTAAATGAGAAGAATTAAAATGATAATTGCGAAGTGATAATTCATTTTTAAATTGAAAAAAGAAAAAAAAAATTATCAATCGAATGTGACACCAAAATTGAATTAAAAAATATTGAATTCAATCTTTTTTTCCTCATCTTTTATTTTAATAAATTAAATAAAGTAAGTTTGATAGTAATTTACAGTTTAATTCTATTTTAAATATTTAAAACCCATATTAACCTCCAATAATTAAAACCTATTAACCTATTAAAGTTTCAATTTTGTTAAAAATAAAAGATTAAAATGTTATCAGAGATAAAACATTGATTATTTGAAGCAAAATTCATTGATTAATTTTAAATTGCTTTTTTTATTGACTATATGCTATATTTTATTGATTAATTCTTTTTTTTTTAAAACAATTGTACCTATAAATTTTATTAACTATTAATAAATTATGATTTTTATATGTTATTTATTGAAGAATGACTATATATGATAAAAAAAGATATGATAAAGAAATTACCGTAATGTTTATCATTGAAATAATCATTACGATGATAAATATTTTGACATTTATGATGACATCGTTGCATTTTAGCATTTTTAACAAAATCCATCAATGGACATGGTATGCCACATTTAATGTCATATGGATATGGTTGACATCCATCACGTCCACCTGTATTATATCTTTTGTTAATTTTCATTTATTCCCATATACTATTAGCTTTAATTTTAAATTTAAAAAATAAAAATTTTCAAATATTATTAAGAATATGTTTTTTTTTTTTAAAAATTTAATTAACATTATCATTAGAAGTAATACTAAAATCTATTATTATATATTAAATTTTAATTCGTTCCTTTTTTTTTTTTTCACTTTTTTCAACAAAAAAATTAAAAAAAAAAAACGAGAAGAAAAGAAATTTTTGAAATACTATTTTCATCACTATTTATTGTTATTACTATTATTTATTGTTAATTTATTGAAAATTTTTAATGAAAATAAAAATAGGTTGAAAATTTAAATTTAAATTTAAATTTAACCTGTGACAATTCCTTCATTAACCCAATAAATCATAGCTTTTAATGCATCACCACCAATGCATGTACCACAACCAATACAACAACTAATAATATCATCTGAGCTAAGTATAACTTGCACAGTACCATTCGTTGCTATGCAAATACGATCTGATGCTACACCAGCTACTGCTACAGCCTAAAAATCATTAATTAATTAATTAATTAGCTAATTAACTAATTAATAATAATCAATAATTGAAAAAAATTTTTTTTTTCTTCGCTTTCATTTATTCAAAATTTTTCGTTGATTAATATTTTTTTCATAATTAAATTATGCATTTAAAAAAAAAAAGAAAAAAACTACGCTAAAAGAATATTGCAAATGTTTAAAGAAATATTTTTTATGATAAAATTATATTTTGAAATATGCTAAAATTATATTAAAGCAATTTTCTAATTTTTTATTTTTTCTCATTTTTATTTCCTTTTTTTTTTTTCGTATTTTCTACGAACATTAATGAAATATTTATTTTGATCAGCATTTCTTAATTATTTTTAATTTTTTGATTTTAACTTTTTTTTGTTTTGATCAGATTGATTTTTTTGTTGTTTAATTATGATTATTCTTTTATTTGGCTAATTTTTATTTTCGCCTTTTTTTGTCATGAAGAAAAAAAAAAGAAAAGTAATAAAATGATAACACTTTTTTGCTGAATAATATTTTATGACTAATTAAATTAACAAAATCATCTAAAACAATCAAATTTTAAATTTGAAAATTTGAAAAAAAAATATTTGTTCGATAGTATATCTTTTATAATAATTATTTTTACAAAAATTTTTTTGCAACAATTTTATAATTAATAAATATTAAATAAATACTAACATAACATGATCCACAGCCACCCTGATTTGGTACATTATGTATTGAGGAGCATAGTGGCCATTTTCTTCGTGCATCAAATTCATCCGGAAGTTCCGAAGCCGGAAAATCATTTAATTTCCTGAAAACAAATGGAATAATATTAATTAGATCATCAAATATGTGTAATTACTTTTTATTGGTATATTAATCTAGTATTAATAACAACATATTACTATCACATTTTTTACTAAAGTATGTTTTCTTGGGCAAAAACTTTTGATGCCAAAAGTTACATACAGATCAAAGGTAATAGTAAATCAGTTGCAAATATTATTAACTAATTTTTTTTTTTATATATCGACAAAAATAGGAAGAATATTTTATTTGTTTATTTTAAATATCATTAGCAGGATTATGAGATTCTTTGCGGTATAAAATTTAAAATTTCCAAGATTATTTAACTTCATCATTATCAATGAAAATATTGTATCACTGCTTAACCTTTTGACCCAAATTTTTATAATTATTAGTATAATGATCGGCATACTTTATTGATCATTAGTAGGTATCATACATAAAGTAATAACTTTACCGACCATTAGTAGATATCACACATAAAGTAATAAGTAGTAAAACAAATAATTATGAGCATATGGTTGAATGAAATAAAAATTTTAATTTTCGAAAATTTCTTTTCAAATTTTATTTTTAATTATACCTAATATGTTGCTTCATATGATTAGATTTATGAAATTTATAAATATCATCGATTAGCTTTTTATCAATGATATTGCTTTTGTCATTTAGAGATATTTTATTGAATAAAATATCAGGTTTCTCGGATCGTATTCCAAATGGATTGTATTTAGCCTGTAATTAATTAATAAAATTTATGAAAATTTTCCTTCTTTAAGATATCATTAGCAAATTTTATAATTATGCTATATCATTTTATTAATTTATTAATATTTTTTCCTAGAAATCGGTAATGTGAAATTTTTTTTTTTTGCCGTCATTATTTACATAAATTTTTGAATTGTAATATTTGATCCATTTTTACAATTCATAACAAATTTATTCAATATTATTGTTTTCTAATTTGATTTCTTTATCATTTGACTTTTTTTTTTCTACTCAAAGCTTTTTGTTTAAAAACATTTTATCAATGAAATTTTACCTTCCATTTGAGATTTGGTGATTCGTTTACTGCTTGTACAAGTTTTTCAAAATATGTTTTTATTTCATGAGATTTTTGACAATGATCAAATTCATCTTTTCGTTGATTCTTTTGTAATACTAATAGACATGGTAATAACACTGCTAAAAATATTCTATATGATCAATAAATTTTAGAAAAAAGAATTGCAGAAAATTTAATTCTTATTTAATTCAAATTTTTATCCAAATATTATTACGGACCATTTTTAATATTGTTCCAATTAGTTAACAAACCTTCACATACTTAACTTTCTTGCATTTTGATAATTATTAATTCAATGGTTGTAGAATATTATGAATTTCCTAGTTAATATATCAAAAAACTATTTTTTTTTTTCACATTCATCAAATTAATTTTAATATTAAAGAAATGTTTCATATATTATTTACATAACTAATCGTCCTTTTTCCGTCGTTTTTTTCTTTTTTTGGTCTTACTTTATTACTAAATCACTATAAAAATTAAAGAATAGCTTAATGGAAAGTCATTAATTTAGAAACAAATTTCTCAGTTTTCCTTTAAATTTTTTCCATCACTTCATTATTAAAAGATTATTTAAAATTTTTACTTTTTCATCATTAAAAATGCGTTATTGTTACGTAATTGAAAGTTGGCAATTTTACTAGAATATGCAAAAAAAAGATGACAAATTACTTAATTTCCAACAAACTAATCTATCATTAGATTATAGAGATGATAATTAGATTCTAATTAGATTTCGCTGATGATCAAAAAGTTAATTAAAAATAGAGTAATATGTTATTTGATGAAAATTTTACAGCTATACGAATTATATAATATATTTATGCGGAGGTATACAGTAACATGTGATATAGCACAGTTACTGTAGACAATTACAGTATGGCCATAAAATGTATGTCGTAATATTCATTGCTGTTGTGATATAAATTGTGATACTGTAGTATACAGTATGACTATATGAAATATCACATTATTTAAAATATTTGGAACAATCATGGTATTTATTGCTATTGTAGTCCCCATACCGTAGCATTCAGTAGGGATATGATCGCACCATACTGTGTTGTAGGGCGTGAAGTATGATTATATCGTAGTATTCAACGCTATATGTAGTAACTATTATACTGTACCATATAGTATGATGCAATATAACACAGTATGACGTTATATGTATAAATTAATACAGTATGCAATGCAGTATGGTAATCGAATTATAATAAATACGCAAGATATTCTAAAATTTTTTTACAATTTGAAGCATTTTCACCACCATATGGCTTACTGTAGTATTTAACTTACCAATTTAATATATTTACTTTATTTTTAAATTATTGTTATTTCGTATTGTTCTCAATGTAAACTATTTTTGTAAGATATATTAAGCAATACAAACCAAAACTTATCACGGCAATAATTATAATAAAAATGCGTTTTATACAGTATTTATGAATACTTATAAATGATTGGTGCAATCCAGAAGTAACCGATTCGCACTCTTTCATAGGCAATATCTGTATATGTACACAAACACACACCTGGAAAATTTTCTTGAAATTCAAAAAAAATTTAGGTATTATGTTCAAATAATAGTTAAAAAGTTATATCATGCATTTGCACTAATTGTTACTAATTATGCATGTCAAAATTAATAAATTTCTGCAAGCAAATAAAAAAAAATTAATAAATAAATAAAAATGAAATGTATCGAATTGATTAAAACTTATCAGGGATTCTCTGATACTCCTGTGCTATATAATTCTTGTAAAACAAGCATTTGGCATAAATACTTTTCAAAAAAGATTGACTAATTAGCTATGAACATTTTAAATAGTTGGTAATTATTAATAAAAATGAAATAAAATAAAATTTCTACCGTTTTTAACTTGTTTGAATATGAAATTTTTAAGAAAGATAATAAATAACTTCATGTTTAACCAATTAATTTTAATTAACGTATGGGTTTTTAAAAATTTTCGAAAAAAAGAAAAAAAAGGTTTCCAAAAAAGCAGTATCTATAAAAGTTTAAATTTTTGAACTATTTTTTTTTTTTTTAAGAAGAAGCATTACTAAATGAAAAGTAATCATTCAGATTATTCGAAGAGATAGTGTGATATATTATCATAGTATCAATACAAATACACTCTTATCACTCATTTCAAACAGAAAAAAAAAAACGATTATCAAAAGCAATTTGTGCAGTATTTTATTCACATAATTATATCAGTAATTCAAATCATTTAACAGATAAGAAAAAATTTTATCATCAATTGATTAATAATGTAAAAATAGTCCAAATCATTAGAAGTTTCAGAAAAGAAAAAAAAATTTTTTTTCGATATGAAATAGTGAAAGAGACATTTACAAAACTAAAAAAAATGTAATTAAAAAAAAAGAAATCAATTTTTCTTTTTCGAAATTTTATCACAAGAAAAGGCATAGAAATTGAAAAGAAAAAAATTTATCAATCTTTTTTAACAAAATTAAAAAATTACATTGCCTTAATTTGAAATCAAATTTCATTTCATTAAAATTTTTCTACATCATTAATGACCACTGAAAATAAACTAATAGAAAATGATAAAAAGAAAGAATAAAAAAATAAAGAAATTAAAATTTTTAAATCACAAATTTCTGACAAATGAGCAGCTACACAATGTTGTTTGTTGCAAAATTATCATTGAAAATAACATCTGATATCATTAAGTAATTAAAGAATTGATAGATAATTTATGAAATTGCTATTAATTGTAAACTAGTAATGCTAGTGCAGTATCAGAATCTATTCATTTAGTTTAATTAATTTTAATTTTAATTAATAGCTTTTTTTTTTATCACCACTTTAATTTTTTGTTTCATATTTATCATTGAAGTCGATTAATCTGTCTAATGCTAGTAATAACAGGTAAATCATTAATTTAAGATCAGATGAAGCTACTAATTCTTCAATTTTGCAACTAGATGACACTGCCAGTATCATTATTGTCATACTATCGATATGATAAAATTCCATTTAGGACAAAAAAATAGAAAAAGTGAAAGATAATAGGAAAACATTGTAATTATAATTTCAATTACCTGACAATATTGTAATTACAATTCTAAAATAAAAGAAAAAATTAAAAAAATATAAATAATTTTACATATGAAATAATATTTTCTCATTTATTTTTTTCTTTCTTGTGGCAAAGAATTAATTATCTGTTTAATTATTAAACTTTTTTTTTTTTTTTTCATAAAATATTTTTAATGTTTGAAAACATTATGTTTAAAAAAAAGGAAAAAAAAATACAAATGATTAATAAAAAATTATTATTGTATTAAAAGCATTGCTATATATTAATAAATTTTTCGTTTCTTTTTTTTTTTAAAAGAAATTATAAATAATCAGTTGTTCGTTTATTTTGTATGATAGTAAACTAATCAATCGATAATTATTATTAAAGTATGTATTTGTGTTAAAAGTATGCTAAAATGTGTGTAACAAAAAAGAAAAATTTTTTTTTTTTAAAAATGCTAAAAATTTTCCAATGATCAGTAGTAGAATGGATTTATAAAAATTTCAGTATTTCGTTCAAAAAACAAATAAATCATTTTCTCAAATTACTTCTATTATACATTAAACAAAAACAAAATAAAATAACAACAATGATTATGAAAATAAATTGTTATCGATTCGATTTAAAGTAATGCGATGCTTATCATTTTATATCATCAATCATTTTATATCATAATCTATCATTTTATATTTATTTATATGTAATTGTCATATCAGTTAATTTCATTTTAAATTAGCATAAATATCTGTGCTCATTTAAAATTATATATATATATTCATTTTATAAATATATTGACTAATGATAAAAGTTCTTTTAATCAATGGAATAAAATTAATAATCAAAATTAATCAGCTATGAACTTTCAAAATTGTCATATCAGACACGTAATTAAAATGAAGAGCGAAAAAAAAAGAAAGAACGAAGAAGGAAGGAAAAATTTTTGATAACAATAATGATGATAATGTGATAACGTCCAAATGATGATGATGATGATAATAATAATAGTAATAATAATAATAAATCATGATTAATAATAATAATAAGTAGTAATAATAAATAATGATAATAATAAATAGTAACAATAATAATAATAGCAATAATGATAATGATAATAATAATAATTAACAACAATAATAGTGTTTAAATGGCTATTCAAAGAGCTGCTATCATAAATTAAACTATTCATTCGGTATCTATTTACAAAATAAATTCTTTATCATTATTAAATAATTTAAGCTGTTTCATTCTTTCTTTTTTTTTGATATTTATCATTGTTAAAAATTAATTTTTAGTTTATTATTATCAACAAAATCTTTAGCACATTATAAACAATTATTTAATTTTCAAAAATAAAAAAAAAAGAATTATCCTGAAATTTAAAGGGACACTTTAGGTAATACAAATAGCCAATTCGTTAAGGACGGTTTTATGGAAGTCTTGTGATGAAGGTTCAATTCCGCATCAGTGACAAATTAAAAGGATGCCAATGACGAGAAATCATGCACCACTCATATATAGCCATGCTGAAAAGTTAATACCTCTTAACCATTTCTGAGGCACATTAATGCTTTTCATGAATGCCTCTAAGATGACCTTTCACATTTGAAAAGGTCATTCAATTGTGATTTATGTACAACAAAAGAACAAGAGAAATATTATGAACTCATTGTGAAATAATAAATTGTTGTTTGGTATGATGTAACAGTGTTACTGCGAATATATTTCTAATTTGAAATAAGAAATGAAAGTTTCAATTCAATCTTCTTTGTATATTTGAGTTATCAAAATTAATCAAAGGGAAAGATTAGAAAAGAAAAAAAAAATCGTTTTATTCAGGCAGTTATATTTATACAACTTATCACAGAAGAAATGAACAAAATAGAATCATACAACGAAATTAAATGTTTCCAAAAACGAAATAAACTTGAAAGGCAATATTTCATGAAATAAGAGAAACTATTGCTCAATTACTGATTCTTTTTTGTGCAAAGTTTTGTATTAAATTTCTTCCAAAAAATATTGGAAAATTTTTGTAAAAACCGGAATAACTACAAGGAATTGCTACAAGCAGTTCCTAGTTTATACTTAATCATCTAAACGGTAGCAATAAAGCATGACAAGTAAAAAAAGAACTATCCGGATAAAAAAACGAAAAGAAATGATGTGAAAACTTATCATCACTTTTTAGCCAGCGACAGCACATCTAAATGAATGTTTCAGCTGTTGGAATCCACATCTTACGATGCTTCTAATGCTACTCTTTCACGCCTCTCTTCTAAAATTAATTTTCATTATCACAAAACAAATAATAGAAGATCATTTTAATGATCTGGAAAAAAAAAAACTGTTGAAGTCAACACTGTATAAGCATCATAGTGATGGCAAGGCAATCACTTGCAATTCCTGTATCATTGCATATTAACCTAAATCGCCTTCAATTTTATTATGATATCAGTTACAAATGGTATAATATGTGACAGAATAAAAATTGTCTTAATTGAAGAATAGATTATGTCCATGGATTAAGCAATTTTTGAGAAACTAAGATTTAAAGTAAAATGAAAGCAGAATTTCATTTTACCACTTTTCTAGCTAACTAAACGTAAGAAGCTGGTAAATTTCTTTGATCAATAGGATTTCAAATATAATTTAAGATTTTAAATGTATAACAAGCAGTCAACTGACGGCGTTTCCATATTTTCCATATATTAGAAGTTTCTCTCACTTTATTCATTGTAAACCAATTAATAGAAAGGTTTACCTATTTTGTCAGGTATTTTAGCAAACAACGACTCTGATGGGATTTCTGGAAAATCAAGCTCGCCTTCATTTTCTATTAATTTCGCAAATTCCTTTTCGACTTCTTCCAAATCATCTTCACCGAGCTTACCACTAAGCATGTTTGATATTTCCTGTACGAAGCACTTTTAAACATTTGAATTTTTGAACACATATATTTATAACTTCAATTATAACAGATAAATGAAAACATGAAAATTCTTTGAAAGTATCTCACTTACTTCTTGAAATTCCGCTGCCTCCTTTGTCTCATCCATGATTCGTTCGATATCGTCAACTGAAATCATCTGAAAGAAAAGCATTTGTACAATTTTTTTTTTTTTTTTTTTACAGACTTTATATTTATAACATCAATTATAAATCTGTATGTGCTTAAGGGAGAAAAAATCTAGGTTATTACTGCAAACTAATCAGAAGCAACATAAATTACTGGAAATTTCCAAATTTGTGATTTATAATATTCAAATTTCTAAATATTTCGAAAAAACTCAGTAAATGTACGCCATTCCCAAGCAAAACACAAACAAATTTATAAATCTAGAAGTTTTTTTTCTGCTAATTTGAAAGTTTATAAAAGTTCTAAAGCTAATACTACAATTCAATATAGAAATAATTATCCATAAATTCAAACAACATTTAGACAATTTAATTACCTGATTCATCCGTTTCAAGACTTCATTACCATGCCTCAGTTGTTCCACCACTCTCTGTTCAATGACGACAAATTCCAAATCACTTACCTTTAAGAATGGTTCCTTTTTATGGTATCACTTGGAAAATTAATGCAAACTCACTTGATTCTGAGATATTATTTGTACCTTCTATTTCTCTTACAATAATATTCTTATAACTACAATACTTAATAACCTACAATATTCTTCTATTTCTCTTATCATTATTGACAAACCTTAACAAATATTACCAAAATATTTGAAAAAAAAGTACCATTCTTTCAATTTGATCTAGCTGTTGCAACATTTTTTCAGTCATTGATTCCTGATATCTCTTCCTCTTTAAAATTAATAAGGCACGACTGAAAACCAAACTTGTAATTTTTCAGAAAATTAAGTTAGGATCAATCTATAAATTCATATTACGCTTATATGTTTTCTGATAACACAAAATATAGCTGTAACTAAGCGCGTAATGAAATTGATTTAATTCTTTAGCAGACTATAGGAGAGATATAGTCAAAGTAGTTAAAATATGATCGAGAGAAAAAAATCCATATATCTAATTCAGTTTGTAAATAAAAACATGATAGCAAAGTTAAATGCAATGGAAAAAAAGAGGAATTTTATGTATAACTGGATTAAATTTTTATAATTTATATATAAAATACGGAAAAGATGAAAAGCTTACTCTTTTTTGTTCGCTTTTATCAATTGTTTCGCCAAATCTTTCTCGCGTTCCATTTGTTTCTCATTTCTCCTTATATATTGCTTCATTTTATCTCTTTGATTTTTTAACTGCTACAAATTATCTTTCTGGTTTTAATGAAGAAAAAAAACAAACAAACTTTGCATTTATTTCATGCATGTGTAAATAAGTATTTTAAAGAACCTTAAAACAAGCTGAAATTTTTTTTTTTTTTTTCTTTCACAGATTGAACTATCACTGTTTTGAGAAACAGATAATATCTAACAGAATTGAAACAACAAAGTATTCCAAGCAAATCTTGTCAAATTTCTCTAATTTCACAAAGTTCAGCTAATATCAAAGTTTAAGTTGGTAAATAGTAAGCTGGAAGAACTAAGGCTAAAATAATAGAACTCACTGTAAAATGAATTTCATAAAAAACAAAGACGTTTTTTTTTTTTTCTTTTTTCAAGAATTTTCTTGCAAATACCAAAGTCAGCGAGCTCAGACAGAAATCATGTCCGAAAATAAAGCAATTATTTTTTTAAACATTGAGATTTTCGGAAATTTCTTTTTTTCCGAAACTTTCGGAAAAATTAAAATTCATCTAAGAGATTGAAGTTAATGAATTTTGAAAAACTAAGGAATGGAACTACCAATTTCTGCTTCTAACTCTAATAGAAAAGTACTTACATCGAGTATGAGCCTGATTTGAATAGGTAATCACACACAACTTCCAATTCTTATTTCTAGGCAAATAAAAATCTTAAAGAAAAAAAGGCTATTAACCAAAATGGCTTGGTCCTGTTGTGATACTGGTGTTAGAGCTGGCCGTTGTTTGCCGAATAAATTACCCATAATAACTTTCGATAAGTTCCAATAATCTATTTTATAAAATTTCACATATGTAACCTGAAATAATTGAAATACATAACCAAATATAAACTGATGAAAGAACTCAGACTAAAAGTGCATAAAAATCTTAAAAAAATCCATCATTTGTTTGTCAGATGTCAGATTTTATATTAATCAGAGTAAATCAATTTAAGTTAAGCATTTGTATCAGTATAACGTTTTTCATAGAAGTACCTAATATTACAATTAGAAGTTTAATCAAATTCTATCATCAAAAAAAAAAAAAAAAGTCCTTCTATTTCAATTTGATATACTAAAATCGCATAACTACACATTTTAACATTCAAAATCTCATTCACTAGAAACAGCAATATTAAAAAGGAAATTCTCATCATATACGTTTCTAGCAGTAATTTTATAGATATAATTTAATATGACTCATCACTTTTATCATTTTTTAAAAGTACAAAATAAGTTATTACGACAAATTCTATCCTATTAATGTTACATCTTTAATAATGAAAATCCTCTAATAACCCTAACTTATTTATAAAAATTAAAAAAAAAAAAAAGTTATAAAAAAAAAGAACAATCCACCTTGAGCATTTAAAATGCTGCCGAAGGCACTGTATGCCGAAGTATAATTCGCATAAAATTCGAACTACATAAGTTGAATTATCGTGTTTGCGTGGCTTACGTTTGATTAAAACGTGGATTGTGTGGGCTTAGATTGACTTACTATCAATATTTGAAATGAAGAACTTGTTGTGCAGCATTAATTCCGACTTTTTTATAGTAACGAATATCTTGATATTATAAAATAGGTCAAAATAAATAAGTGTAAGCAATAATAAATGTGCAAAAGAAATCAATGAATGATAGCAATGATGAGATTGTTGAATTTATTAGAGATTATTATCAGTACGGAAATAACAACATTTGCTTTTATTAGCTGTCACATATTCAATTATTATAAGAAATTATTATTCAGTTTCGAGTTTTATAAAAGTAACAAAATCTTTTTTGTGTGATTCTTTTCGACTTTTAATGCATCTTTTTTTTTCATTTTTTCCCTTTTTTTTGAAGCAAATGTTGGTGAGAATATAGTTCAATGCACAAAAAATTAAAAAACAAGGAACAATTTGCGAATGTTAAATTACTAAGCATGGAATGAATAACAACAATAAAATTTAAACAATAAACAAAGTTTAAACAATAAATCAGCAAAAAAAAAAACGATGAATAACTTGATAAAGTATTTTCTCAACTCTTTGTTTTTTTTTTTCCTCGTCTCTTCTTATCATTAGACGATCATTTGAAACGATCGCCATCCATCTTTCTCCTGAAATATATTTCTCAACAAACTGAATAACTCATTTTATATTTTGATACAACTTGCTAAAAAATTTGGAAATGGTTGAATGAATTGTTATGAAAAGATATTAAATGATTTTTATATACTGTCCACTACAAACAATAAAACAATAATATTGGGATAGTTTTGATAGCATTGGAAAAGTAACTGGTATCCAGTAAAAAAGTGATTTCGAAATAATGAAGACTATGCATTGCATGTTTTGATTCAATTTGAATTTAATTTTAGTCTTTCGATATTTTTCCCGTGATAACAACTCATTGTTCCAAATACTTTGCGACTGTAATAATCAAATCTATCTCAGAAATCAAATAATTTATGTTTAGTGAAGCAGAGTGTGACTGACCCATTAAATTTCGTTCTCCCAGCTGGTACTGTTCTACTTTGATAAAAATTTGTTCCAACTGATAATTTTGAATCTTCCGAGATGCTTGACTCAGCTAAAATCAAAGTTTTTTTGTTTGATCCTACCAAATTTGTAAAAAAATTGAATGCATAAACAATAATTCTTTATATTTATGTGTTTTTCTTCTAATAGATAATCAACTTGTATCATTAGAATTATCCTTATCACATGTATTTGAAGGTGTGTGACAAATTTTTGTAATTTCCAGTGTGCCGCTAATATCAATGAATGACGATGATGTCATTAATTCAATGCTTTGAATCGAATCGTTTTGCTGCTCATTATCAACTGTCTGCAATAAGCAAATAAAAATTCATTTACAATGAAAATTTCCTTTCAACTGAAAGAAAAATTTCTCAAAAATCAAAACGAAAAGAAAAAAATTAAGTAAAATAAGTTACTTGAATTTGAGAAAACTCATCGCTACATGCTGAGAATGATCGTAAAATTTTAGTTGGTGAAGAGCAGATAGTGGTATCACGAGAAACTGGGTTGCTAAATTGATTGGTATCAGCTTGCATCAGGGATTTCATTTCGGTTACACTTTTCATGAAAATCGAATGAACTGATGTTGTAATCCTAAATAAATTGGTTTCTAAGTAAGATTTCTCAATAAACCAATGCAACCAGAAAAAAAAAAAAGAAAAAACATAAAAAACATACATGTGCTTTTCACAATCAAATCTACCAGTCAACAATGGTTCAACTTCTCTCGGAAAGTGGAATAGACCTTCATCAGCAATAAAACCTTGTGGTTCATAATTTGAAGGTGTCCCTGAAAAAAAAAAAAAATGTCAGTTAGATTGGTAATGAAGATTCACAGTTGTTTTCTATATCTTTGTATAACTGAGTATAAGTTAAATTTATATTTTTTATAAATCCATATCCAGACAATAAGTTCATCAACCTAATGAAAGCTTCGCTAACTTACTGAAGTATTGAGAGACAGTAATTTCTTAACTGCTTCAGTTACTATTAAATCATCATAGCAATGATAGCATATAAAATGTATAAATTTACAACAACATATAAAAAAACTTATCCCAAAAAAATGTTACTTTCATCATAGTAAGTAAGCTTAAAAATAGTGCAAATGTTCTGTGGTAATGGATCCATCATATTTTCATATGCAGTGACACGACGAATCAAATGAAAAAATTGTTTGCGCGCTTGTGTAATTCCTGTATATTTAATAGCAGCGACTTTCTCACCTTTTGTGCTATAAAAAAAAAATTGAAAATTGTTATAATTTTTAAAAACTTCCTATTAAAACAAATATTAAAATTGTATGTTAATAAAATTATTGACATGCAGCTTTTATAATTGTATAATGCAAATTGCATATAGCAAATTTTTTTATTTACAAGTTAATCTATCAGTAGTTCAAAACTAAATCTATTCGATTTAGAAGATATCACTTCCCTTGTAAGGATCATTTCTGCTTGATCAGAATCATAAAAAAATGACATCCGGTGAATTTCCAAAGCTTCATATTCATCTTCTCTGTCACGATCAGCAACCATTATGATGAAGTCACGTAACTAGAAATTTCAATAAAAATTTTGATTTCATTTGCAGAATAAGATTCATTTCCATTCATTGAATCTTTTTACTTCTTTTTCATTTAAATTATAATTTTGTTGGTGGTTCAAAAGATACAGCTAAACAAATGGTTAGATAACTTTTAACAACAACTATCAAATTTAATAAAAAAAAGAATTGAAGTGTTAAACTGAAATTTTCAGTTTTTAATTTTTTAATTAGATTTTAGATTACAATGATTCAATCCTTTGAATATATATTGCTAAATTTCAATTAGTATATTTTTCAATTCGTAAAATAAGAAAAAAGCAACCAAGTTTGTATTTTGTTAGTTATAACAGCATCATTTAAAAATACAAGTGCAATAGGAAGAAATTATGACTAATGAGATTTTTCGAATTTAAAAAAAAAAAGAAAGAATTTAGAATTTAATCAAATTTTTTGAACTTAAAAAAAATTTACATATGCAAATTCAATCGCTTCCATAACACCTTTAAGACCATGAACAATATCTTTGCCTTCAGCTTCAGCTCGAATAACATAAAACTTCCATTCTAAAAATTCCCGTTAACTGTTTAATAACAAACCAATAATGAATATAACTGAGAGATTATATTACAAATACAGTCACATTTATATTAATCCACTGAATTCCAAATCTAATCAATTTTTTTTTTTGCTGAGTGAAACAAAAAAAAGTAAACATCCTTTTTTTGTATGAAAAAAAAAAAAAAAAAAAAAATGATTTCTTCCAAATCTTTCTTCCTTATTTAAAAAAGAATTCATTAAAATGCATTTTTTGCTTTATCACTAAATGACTAATAAGATGATATATCTTAAGTATTATGCATATTCAAATGATCATCAGCATTGTATTTATCATTTATTGCTAACAACTGCTAACATTCGTATTATCATTTATGTTATTATCAATAGTATATTTAATACTTATTAGCATTAGACACTGCTTTTTATTTGCTATTGAATTTAATTAAAAATTTAAATCTTTATTCTATTATTGAAAGATAATGTTGTGAATAATATTTGAATTTCAAATGTTCTTATCTTTCAATAAACAAACTGAAAAAAAAATTTACATACTTTCAATTTGACGTTTCTTGAAGCATTTTACAGGAAGTAAACCTCTGGTATAAAGGATATGTGATGCAGTAATGAATACCATACGTTGTAGAAATGATCGTGATTTTTCGCCAACCGGTTCATCCGGAAATGTTGCTTCCCACTAAAATAATTTGTACTTTTTCCGGATCTATATTTCTAGAAATACTACATTGATGTAGTAGTCATGATAAAAAAAAAAATTAACTGTTTAAACTCACTCACTGTAAATTCAGCTAACGATATATAAATTAATTTAAGGAAAGCTTTCTTTTATATTTATTGCTGATAATTATAACTTGTTAAGAAAAATAACTTACATTTAAGCCTTTTCTCGACCGTTTTTTTTGTATTATTTCCATTTGATCGCACCAGAAATCCTGAAATATAAATTATAAAAGCTGAAATATAAAAGCAGGAAAAAAGACATAGCGAAAATAAAATCAAAAGTGTTACATAACAAAATATCCTAAAATACAAATTATCTTTTTTTTTATAATTTTTATAACGCTATCTTCGAGTAACTTCATTTTTTCTGCCATTTTATAATTTAATAATCAATAATATAATAATTTCATCTTGAAATTGTTAATTGATATTAATCGACAATCTAAAAACTAATTGCTAATCTAGAACTGTAAATCTGCTATTAACATTTATCATTTTAAACAAGAATTGTCAGTACTTTAAAGTCAAACAAATCATCAATTAAAATAAAATAATAGTTCTAAATATAAAAATAAATTATATTTAACACAATTTATGATTAACAATGCAATCGAGTATTTAATTTCACTCATCGATCAAATTTCGATCAAATAATTTTAATCAAATTTATTAAACTTAAAATTTGAATGTTAACTTCATAATAAAACAACTTTAAATGAAAATTTACAAATCGGGAAAGTTTATGAAATTTAATAATTATATTTTAAGAATTACATCTCTATTTTAATAGCTAAATTTCATGCAAACAATTCACTTCTGCCTTTATATACCGCACACAGATCCATTCCAAATTAACTTTTATATTTTGCACGTAGCATTACTGTTTCAAATGAGAAATTGCACGCATGCATTTTTAGATTTTTTTTTTTTGCATTTTTTTTTTTAAATTCCTTAGTAATACCTTTTAAAATTCAACTATTTCAATAATGAAGGTTTGTTGTTATTATTATGGTGGAACTGATTAATATCATTTAATCAGTTATGAAATTCAAATTTCAATTTAGAAATTTTTAAATTGCTGAGGAATTTTCAAAGATAATATGTTTTAATCACACTTTAAATTCGAATTTAAATTTAAGTTCAAATTCGGAATTTTTTAAATACCTTAGAAGTTTAAATCCACGTTCAATTCGAAAAGAAATTTTTTCTTTCAGCAATTTTTTTAATTTTAGCAATTTCCAAACGATTCCTACTGCTAGCTTATCAGTTGAAATTATATGTAATCAATATAATTTGAAATTAAAATTACAAGTCATAAGCTGTGCTAAATTTTATAATTTAAATGGATCAAGTTAGAATTTAAATTATATAATATGATTTTTGCATTATAAATTAAATCAAATTTTTTGTGCTCAAAAAAATTTACTGTTTAAATTTCAAATTAGCAAACATTCGTAAATTTTTTGATTCAATATTATTCATTAAAATTTATTAGTTAAATTTAGTTTCAAAATGCAAAATTAAATGAAACATAGCATTTTCCATTTCATATTTAATCCAAATTCAGCATCAATTAAAATTAAATTTATAAATTTTATCGAAATAAAACTTAAATGCATGCATAAAACTTATTTAAATGACATATTATTAAAAAGCACAAATATGAATTTAAACGATTAAAGTGATAAAAAGTGATAAATTTCCTTTTCATCCAATAAAAATGAAAAATATTTTTTATTAATTAATTTATATCATTCGTATCATAATAATATTTTATGTGAGCAATTTTCATTCATATCATTTTCCAGCTTAATCCAAAGCTTATCGATAATTTGACGTGTTATATGATAACCATTAATACGATCTAATATACAACCCATTTGATAAGTCTAAAAAAACAAAATTAAAAATATTTATTTGATATAGTGTAAAGATTTGTAACAAAATAAAATAATCAATTCAAAAAAAAAAAAAGTAAATTTTAATTTATGATTAAATATAAATTTCAATGTTATGTATGTATGTACTGGTAAATATTATTATAATATCTATATATAATTTTAAAAATTTTAATCAAATATATTAGTTCAATTTTTGTAAATAATGAAATAATTCGTTTTTGCTAAAAAAAAATATGAAAAAAAGTAAGGAAAGAGAGGGAGAGAGAAAGTAGAAGAAGAGTAAAAAATTATTGGTATAGCAGTAAAAATGATTAAAAAAAAAAAAAGAGAAAAGAAAGAAAACAAAAATATAGTTAAAATTATAAAATGAAAATTTTTAATTTTCATTTAATTAACCTGTTCAGCAATAATTAAATTAATATAAATATATTGCCAGTGATTGATTACAGCACCTGGTCGTTGTTGTCGAATTTTTTCAATTATTGCCTGAAATAATTTTTTTGTTTAAGTTTGTTTTACCTCTTTTATCAAAAAAAAAAAAAATGAAAAATTTTTTAAAAACTGCAAAAATAATAATTCTTTAAATAATTATACAAAAATAAAGATAAATTTTTATTTTTATAAACTAGCAAAATAAAAAATAAAAACTATATTAGTTAATAATATTTAAATTACATTAAAGTTTACTGGATATAATAATTTAATTAAGAATAAAATGAATGTGGCTAAAATGATTTATTTATTTCTTTAAAAAAAAAAAAAAAAATTTAAAAAAAAAGCGTTAATTTTAATATTTATATTTCTAATTAGCTTTTTTTTTCAATATATTATTTCCTTTATTTATTTATATATGCTAATTTACTTGTTTGTTTGTTAATTTAAATTATACAAATTATTGCAATGAAATCATTTGAAGGATTTAATATATTTAATTTAATTGTTAGAATTGCAAAAATTAACACAAATAATTTTGATTAATTTTTTTTTTTTTTTTATTAATTTCAAATTCTATTTTGCGACTAATTTATTTCATTTACCTTAACATTTACAGTTTGTAAATTTCTAAGTTGATGCATAGCAAAATCTAATGCAAGAAGAACACCTGTACGACCACGACCTGCATGACAATGTATTAATGTTTTATTATCGCTTACCTGTAAATTTATAAGACAAAAAATACTATTTATTAAATGTATTAAATTTAAAATTAAACATGAAAAATATTATTTATCAATTTGTATTAAATTTAAATTTAAACAGAGATGATACTAATGTTTAGTTAAAATATTCTAGTAATTAGAATAAAAAAAAAATCTTTTTCTAATTAATTTAATGAACCAAATTAAGAAAAACATTTTCTTATTTTTCTTAATTAAAAAAAAAGAAAAATTTCTTTCTTTCTTAGTTTTAAAAATTCATTTTTCATTAATTAATATTTTATGTTGTCTATAAATTATAATAACTATTTTTTAATTGAAATATTTATCTAACATATTATCACTACTTTATATTTTATATACTTTAATTACAAGTATAAATAAAATAAAAAATAGAAATAACAATTCTTACTACAACTAAAGTAATTATATTTTAGTAAAAAAAAAAAATATTGCTTTGTTTAACAAATTTTTATATCTCCCAATTAAAAGTAAAACAAAAAATAAAAAATTCTTACTACTAAAACTAAATTTACTTAAAATCAGTAATCATTTATCATTATTATTTAATAATAAAGTGAAATGAAACAATAAAATTGCAGTTAATTAATCTAATGCTAATTATTTAATTAATGATAATTAAAAGAAAAGAAATGATAAATATTGTTTACCATTAAAAATAATTTCAATAATGTATTAGCAGCTTTAGCCAAGGTATTTTCTCTTCCCCAAGGTAATGGCAAACGTCCATCTGGCCAACGATAATAACATATATGTGTAAGATATCGATCATTTTCATCATTTTTTTGTTTACAATTTTGTATACAAAGTTGTGTTAATCGATAAACACATTCTTTAGTATTAGTTGCATAATGTTTACAATCTGCCTAATATTATTATATAAATTAATATCTAATTATTTTAAATTTAAAGTTTCTTTTTAAAGTTTTTTTTTTACTAAAATTTTAAAAAAGCGTTATTAATTTGATTATATATATATGAAATTTAATAAATTTTATTAATTACAATAAAAGTTTAATTCATTTTATTATGATTATTAATTAATATATAATATTATTAATACAATAAAAGTTTAATTCATTTTAATCTGATTATTAATATTTCTTCTATTAATATTTATTTCACATTGTTCATAAGTTTTTTCTGTTGTTTTCTTTATATAAATTTATTTCAATCTTATATTATAATCATTTATATTTATTTTAATCTTATATTTTAATCATTTATATTTATTTTAATCCTCCAAACTTATTTAAAAATTTTTTATATTCAATTTTATCCCTTATCATTTGCACATATTTCATTTTTTAACAATACCATTATCCGGAATTTATCAATCGTATGCAACTTACCATCATAAAACTATTAATGCAAGTTATTTTAAATGGCATATAATTATATGTTTTGCCATTGATAATAGGCCAATATTGAATTGTTTCATATTTTTTCTGATATGAATCCGGATAAAGGCATTCCTCATACGGAAAATTCAATGATATTATAGTTTTTACATTTTCCTAAATACTAGTAATATACAAAAAAATTTTATAAAATTGCTTATTAGAAAAAATTTTTAATTATAGTGTAAAATTTTTTAATTTAATAAATTTTTAAGAAATTAAAAATTATGTTTTCTAGTTTTTCAAAATTTTAAAAACTTCATGTAAAATAATTTAATTATTAGGTTTAATAATAATTTAATTATTATTAAAATAATTTTTTTTTATTACTTTTCTTCTTTCTTTTTTAAATTTATGAAATTTTCAATTTTAAATAAAAATTATATTTGTAAATTACTTATTAATTTTACCTGCCAAACAAGTGTCCAAAAATCATAAACTGTACCACAATTAGGCCCCGCACATGCGACATATATTTTGCCATCTTCACGTATAACACGTTGCGCATTTACCTGTAAAAAGAAATAATCCTAAATTATTTTAGAAATATTTGCTCAATTTTTAAAAATATTACTAAAAATTTATATCGAATGCAAATTTCCTTTTTAATCTTTTTTTTTTTTTTTTTTTTTTTTGAAAATTTTAATCTATTTTTTCTCATTTTATAAATTAGTTAGAAATTTTTGAACATTGCATCAAAAAAAAAAAATTTTTTTTCTTTTCACTTAAAAATATTTACTAACTAAATAACAATAAGAAAAATTTTCTTTCAAACATATTTGTTTATATTAATTTCTATCATATTCAAATTAAACATTTAAAATATAATCAAATATAACTTTAAATTTGCTTAAATAAAGTTATTATACACATAAACTTTTCTCTTTTTCTATTAATAAATAAATTTAATTCTTTTTTTTAAAAAATTTTTTTTTTTTTAGTATTCTATAAATTCTAATAAAGAGAAAAAATAAACACATTTAGGTGAATTTTTAAATATTTTCTCTTTTTTTCTTTAAAATTGTTTTTAATCATTTTACTTATGTATAATCTATAAATGATAATTTATTCATTGTTTATTAATTAATTTAAATGTATTTTTTTTACAGTTAAGCTAAATTTTAATATAAACATTTCTCTTTTTTTTTAATTGTTTATTATCTAACAAAAGTAAATAATTTATTAATTAATAATAGCACAATTATTTGTGTTATATTTCAGCATTTTTTAATTAATGCTAAAACGATGAAATTATTGTTTAATTATATTTGCAAAAATTTATTTAATAAATTATTCATTTAATTAATTTAAAAAAAATAATATAAAAAAAAAATATATATATATATATATATAATATTAACATTACATTTAATGTGCGTGGAATACAACCATCGATTGAATGTTGAATATATTTAAAAGCATTTTGATTAGTATGTTGATTTGATAAGAGCCAATTATTTGTGATATATTTTAACAATCGAAATTCATCGCATAATGATTGATAAATATTTGTTATTGTTAAATGTTTTGAAAACCAATAATAATCCATCTGTTTTTAATTTCAATTATAATCAACAATAAATTATTTATTTGCTAAGTTTTATTTTAATTGTATTTATAGAAAATAAATAAAAAAATTAAAAAAAAAAAAAGAGATAAGTAAAAATGAACAATTAGGCAAATTGCATTTATAACATATTGAAAATTATTTTCAATTTAATCATTATGTATTATAGGAATAAAAGAAAAAAAAAAATATTTAAATAAATGAATTATTAGTACAATCCCTACTATAGTAATTTATTTAGTTTTATAAAACTACGGATAGGTAAATTTATAAATTTGAATTATTAAACAAATAAATAATTGACTGGACAATCATTTCTCATATGAATATATTATCACCTTCATATCTTTGTGAATGATTGAATTTGCTTTTCTCCTTTTTATTCCATTTGATTCAGTTTTATTTTCAATCATATTTTCACAATTATTTGCTAAAGAATACAACGAATGATTTATGTTATTTAGAAATTTCAAAAATTCAAACAATGTTATAAATTGCTAAAACTTATCATAACTTGAAATAATATTTAATCATAAATTTCTTCTCTTCCGTTTTCCTCCTTTTTTGTTTTTTTTTTTTTTTCGGAAAAAATAACGTACAAAATTCAATAAGCCGATCGTATGGACTGAATCATTCGTGAATAACTTCATCCACATTAAGCTATCCAAATATTTTATATTTGTAGCGATCCTATCACGTAAATATGTAAATTTCATACAATTATTAATTCATTCATTTATTTTCCGGATCACAATGAATCGTATGGAACCTTGACTTTATCGATCCGATCACACAAATATGCAAATTTCAGATAATTATTAAATCACTCACTTATTTTTGGAACCACAATGAACCATATTAAACCTTTAATTATGTCCACATCTAATATTAAAATTCAAAGAGATAATTTGTTGCTTTAATTATATTGAGATTACAATAGTATTACGTAACTTGAAGTATTCTAATATTTACTATGCTATCGCGAAAAAAAAAAAACAAAAACAAAAACAAAATCACTCGCTCTATTGACTTTCTATCAATCTTTTACTAAACCGATACACTCAAAAACTTTATTTAACAGTAGAATTGCAAAACGACTAAAATTATGCATGAAATTTTACTAACTTTAAGAAAACATAGAAGAATATGAAATTTCTATTTATTTTATGAAATGAACACAATACTTAATATACAATGAAAGTCTGATTATAAAAATTAGACCATTCTGGTAGGAATATCTGACAAGAATAGAATAGTTTTTGAAGTCACGTTTTCAAAACACTGGTTTATTATTTTTTTTTTTTTTTCTTGGAAAAGCTAAATAATGATTTAGAATGAGATTAGTCACAAAAAAAAAGCTCATATACAAATCAGATTAAATCAAAAATAACCATAATTTTATTAAAAAAGCTTTCCGATCAAATCAAAACATTACTGTTACTTTACTAATTGACTGCTGTTGAAGAAAAAAAAAAAAAAAAAAATGGACTAAATTAGACAAAGTCTGTTCTGGACAGATACGAGAGATCAACATGAACCAATCTTATGCAACATAATCTAATGGTCGGTTAAATCCACCTTTCCTGTTCATATACTGCCGATATCGTCGTGGTTTATTAATTGATACTACACCATCAACATTACCTGGCACCTGGAATTATCCATATAAATTGAATTAATTGGTACATTGAAAAGACTTTCAATTTTCATTTCAACATAATTCCCACTTATTTAGTACGACTGATAGCAACATTATATTTATATAAAAAAATTTGATGAACTGTCATCAAAAGACAAATAGATACCTTTTTATTCTTAGTTGTATCAAAACCTGCAAAACCCATTAATTTAAGCATGTCTTTGTCGAGTCCTTTCAAAGAATCAACACCAACTGAAAAAAGCAATAAAAACAAAAAGATAAGAAAAATTCTCTCAAATAAAAAAAAAAATCATTGCTAACTCAATCAGTAAGGGAACTTCCTGTGGTGATAACCTGGTACTTAATAACGCAGAATCCTTTTCCGTTAAGTATGTCATATGTGACATATGTGATGTATGTAACAACACCATCAAGTAAACCGACCAACTAGATGATCGAATTTTTTTTTTTCTTATTTTTTCCTAATGATTGTTATCCAAAAATAGTCCAATCGAACATAATATTTTCTAGTTGATAAATATTTACCATCTTTCGTTTGTTTTTCCTTTTCTCGATCCCTAAAACAAAAGTAACGCAAGTTTCCCAGAATTTTTTAAAAATTTATTTTAACCATTTTTCCATCTCAATAACTTACGATAGCAAATAAGTGAATGCTCATTTTGCATATCAAAAAGTGATTCCTATTATTCAAAAAATATGGTATAATGTAGCGAATGGACGATGAAAAAGAAATTCAAACCAAAAACTATATTTGACCTTTTACTATATATTGATAAAACCAAAGAGATGTTAATTTCACAAAGTTTATAAAGATTCGTCAAAATCACCTTCGTGATCTCTCCTCATTACCATATCGCCTTCTTTCATCCACTCGTTCACGGCTTCTACTTCGACTTCGTCTACGATCTACGGGGCTTCGTGATCGACGGCGTTCCTAAAAATGAAATTTGATAATTAAAGTTTTTTGATCGAACGAACTGCAATTTAACGTTAAAAACTATAAAATAAACACCTGAAACTATTTTTCTCGAATAAACTCCAATAGTTATGAAAGCGATAAAAAACTTACAAAACAAATAATTAAATTCTAAAACTTGCATACTTGGCTACGACGACGTGAACGATCTTTATCAACAATTCGAGTCCGACCAGCAGAACGTGATCGTGACCTACGTCGTCTTTCACGTTCTCTTTCTGCAAAAAAGTACGAGTTTTACTGAAAATTATGCAAATTAAATGCACAAATTTAAAATGCCATAAAACTATGCTAAAGCTAATCAATTAAACTGTACTGAAGTAAAAATTACGACGAATGATATCATTTCAATCAGTAATCTTAACTTTTGTCAAGTTAGAATTAATAAGAACTACAGTGCCAAACATTTATTGATTATTTAATAATAGCAGGAAAATTATTATTTAGGTAGAGAGGCATTATTAATTGAATGACACAAACATAACAATTTCAATAATCTTCTTCAAAATGTTTTTCTTCTAAAAGAAAAAGATAGAGAGAGAAATAAAAAAAAGAAAAAGAAAGACTGACAATTAACATTTACATAAATTCAAAGCAAATGTTTCCTCCATGATAAGTCATATCAATGGAAATTTATCAATATCATTTGCTAATAAATTTAAATATTTCAAATAAATTAAAACACTTACCTCTGCTTCTGCTTCGTTCTCGTACCATTTTAGCTATTATACTTTGATATCTTAGATGATTAATTCAATGAAAGAAATAAACAAAACGCAAACACAAACATAAACAACGATGGCATTTGATCGAATTGTCAAACAAATAGGATGAGAATTTTGCATAAAGCGAATCTTTCTAAGACATATTTCATCTAAAGAAGCTAAATTTGTGAATGATAAACTGATAATTATGATAATCAATTGATATGAGAACAGAAGGGTTAGGTTAGATGGTGATGTAATTAAAGGGATAATAAACTGAATGAAATATTATTAATGTGAAGTAATATACGTTTGTTTTTTTGTCTTTTTTTTTGCGCTTAGATTTACTTGTTAAAGTTATTTGTTGAGAAAAAATGAATTTGTTAGGAGATTACAAAATAACTTCAAAAAAATTACATAATTTGTATTAGCTATGACTTCATTAAGCATTTATTTTGCATTATAGCTTTTATAATGTAACTTTTAAAATTTAGAACGCATTACAACTGTATCTTTTTTTATTGTGGGAAAGTCAGTTAATGAACATTAATACATTAGTTCATTAGTTTGCTAGTTTTTTTTTTTTTTTTTAATTTTAAGTGTGCATAAATTAGAACTGTTCCTTTTTAGAAGAAAAGTTTGCTAAAAAGTTATAAAAGTTTCTAGAACTGAAATACATTTAATATGACTGATGTTTGCTGTACCAATAATATTCTGAAAAAAAGTTAAATCGTGGGGAAATAATGGGTTGCGTAACAAAACGACGAAATACAGGGACAAGTCGGCGTAATGTAAGTATACGCATAAAGTGTCATTTTCTAGTTGGCTTTTCTTTTTCATATATATTTTTCATCATATTATTACTCAATATGTTAGAATCAGCAAAGTGGAGTATTAACCTGTCAGAAACATTCTTGATAGTGATTTATTCCAACAAAATAGTTCTGAACTTATTTTATAAGCTTATATAAAAAATGGATATCTCATATGCATAATTTGGAGTCGTACTATTGATGTTCCATAGCAACTGGTTGACAAGTCTCAAGATAATTTCTTATTTCGAAATGAAAATTGCATTAGCAAAAATTGAAACAAATCTTTTTTTTCTGTTTCACTTGTAGCAAATAATATGAGCTTTTCAAAATACGTTTAGTTTGAACTTTTTTAATTTTTCTATGAAAAAACTCAATATTACTTGCTAATTTTATTCCCCAATCTATATATGTATTGTTTTAACTATAAGTAATAATTATATTCATGTCAATAAGTAAATAAAGTCCAAAAACTTGATCTGTTTACCAAATTACAAATATTTTTTTCATGCATCAGGTTTCAAATGAATGTGAAATACCTGATGAAATCGATTTTGATACAGCATGGAAAGTTTATATGCTCAACAAATCTGCGTGCCTTCTTCATTATGTTCCTAATCCAAAGTAAGGCCTTTAATTCATTTACCTTCTTTGTTTCAATTCATTTACTTCTCGTATAATGGTGTAAATGACAATTTTGTTTTCTTAAAACATTATAGAACCAAAAACTGTCGTGATAATCCATATTGTTTGGGACGTTTGGGCTTGGAAAAATGGGACAAATTATTAAGTTGTATCAAAAATGAAAATAAGACGAACACCGATTTGGATCGACGTGATATTGCGAGGATACCTTGTGGTTTAGTGAACCTCGGAAATTCATGTTATGTGAACAGTTTTCTGCAGGTATGTGAGACTAACTTATGGTTAAAGGGAGTGGAAAAAATCTAGAGATTATTGTTGAGATTTAGTATTTGTAGGTAAATATAATTTTTTATTGGAAATCTGAGAAGAGAAATTAGAAGAAAGTTCATATGTTGTTATGATATCAGTTCTTCACAATTTTCTCAAATTTTTAGATATTTTTCAATGACCCTGTTTTCCGCAAATGCATTTATGACTGGCGACCAGTTGCTAATTTTGTCAAACCAGAAGGAGAAAAAATAAATATTGAGGAGCTGATGCACTGCATACAAAAATTATTTATAACTTTGCAAATTACACCTTATGTGAGTTTTTGAATTTTATTCCACTGCCAACTTTCATCGAAGTTGATTCGAAGCTTGATTTGCTGTTTTGAGACTTTCATTAATTTTGCTGGAAAATGTATATAACATTCAATTTGAAGATACTAATATTTAGATCCGGGATTTTTTTTTAATAATTATGAAACTGTATACCGTTTTTTATACGTCATTCTCCCATACAAAAATTATGTCGTAAATTTTATTTTTTCATATTATTTTTAGGAAGATACCAGTGCTGAAGGATTGGTTAAGCTGTTGCAACTGGATGGCAATCAACATGATGCTTTAGAGTTTCAAATACTTTTCTTTGGTAAACTTGAAAAACTGCTCAGCTATCATGTTCAATGGCATGGAGTACGCGAAACTATTCTCAAAAGGTTTCAGGTATAAACTTAAAAATCATAATTTTTTCAGTTTAATGACAGAATCTGTATTATATTTTTTGAAGAGTTATGGAAGATCAAAAATTTTTCAAGCTGTCTTACAGGGAGCTATAACGCAAACAATTTCTTGCAAATGTGGACGCCGCAGTGTTACGGAGTTACCATTCAATCCATTTTATTTAAGTATTGAAAAAGCTAGATCGTTATCAAAGGCATTGGAATATTATTTTCTTCCAGAAGAGTAAATTCATCCGTTTTGTTCTGGTTTTTAAAATTTAATCGTTGTGAAATATCCTATTATTCAGCATAACTTTTGAGGTAGTAGTAGTGTAAATGTTTACTATACACAATAGCTTATAGTTCTTCCTAAAGAAATTTAAGACATGTAATTTTGACAACTAGTGGCATGATGTAAATAGTTTAATTTATTCATATTTTATGATTGATGTTAGCAACTTTTATTTGCTTTCTCACCTTTCTTAAGCTTCAGGTTGTTTCATCTTGCTCTGACATTAGTAATGATGTGGTTCATATTAGAAAAATGCAAAAAAAAAATTGAAAATATCTTATACCTAATATGATGTTTATGGTTAATTGATCTTACAAGAGTTTGGAAAGAGAAAGGAAAGAGAGGAGCTTAAATCAATTATTGAGAAAGGTGAAAATAAATTCATTATTTTAGGTAGCTCTTAATTAAAATACATGGCTTTTTCAGATTACCTGACTACAAATGTAGCGAATGCGGACAAACTGGTTCTGCACAAAATCGTCTTGCCATTAAGGAGCCTCCACCTGTGCTAACAATACAACTTAATCGATTTACATATGATGCGTAAGTTTTATTTTTCTTTTTTTATCCGTCTTTTTTAAAGTAAGAAGTTATTTTTAAGTAAGACACTAAATTCATTCATTAAACAGATCCAGAATTTTTGCTTTTTTGAGCGATTTTGGTTAAAAAAGTTCAAATTTTTAAAAATTATAGTGTGGGACACAAAAAGAAGATTCACTCACCGTTACAGTACCCAAGAGTTTTACAACTCGGTGATGTAAAGTATGACATTTGTGCTGTGATGATACATGAAGGCCCTAATGCTGATTGTGGACATTACTACGATCTAATAAAGCATCCAGGCACTAGGCAATGGTTCACATATAATGATGAGGTACTGTTTTGAATAGTTCATTTTACCATGTTATGGAACGATGGCAAAAATGATTAAAGTATGTTTCAAAATAGGTTAACATGCAGTTACTGAAAGGTTAGATGATGTATTAATCCTATTTTGTAAATAAGGTTAGATGTAAGATGATATCCAAGGTTAGATAATGTATTAATTATTGACTACAACTTTAATTGCTAATGTAAATAAGTTTTAATGAATTAAGAAATATACAGAAGCAATGAACGAAATGTTTAGGTTGTAAAACCATCTGCTACTCCCGGTGTAAGTGTTGAAAAAGAACGGACATCAAAAGTTACTGCCGATATGAAAGGTTGCTACGCTTTAGTTTATCGTCAAGAAAATGAAGAGAATTCAGCTATTCCTGCTGTTCCGGAAGATTTATTAGGTGATATCGCCAACAAGGTATGAAAAAAATTTTTAAGCTTGTTCATTTTTTTCTTTTTTTTAGCATTTTGTTTGTGAATAATTTCCATTGACTTGGTGACTAAAATTAAATTTATATTATTCGTTATTGGTGTGTCCTCTAAGTTCTGAAGAAATTTTTTTCTCTTTTGATCTACGATGATAACAGATCTCTTTATCCATGAATTAGGATAGAAATATATATTTTGAATTTACAGCTAGAAGAAGAATTCATTGCTCAAACCAGTGCAACCACAGAAATGACTCTGAGACTTAAAAATACTGTCGAAGATTATCACAAACGTCTTACGGATACATTCGATAAATTGCAGGTCTTGTAATTTTACTCAAGATTCTTTCTCCCCCTTTTTTTGACTTCATTCAGAAAGAAGCAAATATTGAGGGAATCTACGAAGGGTATAATGACAAAAAATATAGAAGGGGAAATTATTGGCATTGTTAGCAGTTTATAAGTGGTATTTTTTGAGTGATTTCAGTTCAAAATATTATTCAGGATTAATTTTAGGTAAAGAAAAGCGAAAAAATGTTGAAGAATCCAGATGACATTGTATTTATACCCACTGAATTATTCAGTACTGTTTTATCTTATGAATTCAGCAAGATGGTGGAAAATAATGATGAGGTAAAGAATTCCAAAATACTTTATATTTTTTTTTACGCGCCTAGTTTAGCCAGAAATAATTTTCCTTGTCTAAACTGTGCATAAGAAATGTCACATGTAATTATTTTATTTGTTCTTTTGATAGATTTAGCCCATAGTTCTTAAATCATTCGTGGATGTTACTTTGGTAGTTGTAACTATACTGCAGAACATTACGATGATCTTAGTTAGACTGCTTGTAAAGTGACATGTAAGAAATTTATCGTATTTTTTTGTCGCATATTTTTTGAATATGAAATGATGTGTACTTTACTTTAGGTTTTCAAAAATGTTGCAAATAACACTAGAAGTGCTGCGGTCATC